GGGAGGAGGATTGCCTGTGGGATGGACTCACATTGCAGCAGGTCACTGAGAGCTGCTGCTCGTGAGATGGACTCACACTGGAGAAATTCATAGAGAACTGTCTCCTGTGAGAGGGACCCCATGGTGCAGCAGGAAAAAACCTCCTCTCCCTGAGCAGCAGCAGAAGCTTTGGGTGATCAACTGACCAGAACCCCCATTCCCTGTCTCCCTGCACTGCTAGGATAGGAGGCAGAGCTGGAAGGTGGGAGGCATGGCAGGAAGCTGTTTTTAAGGGGTTATTTTACTTCTCATTATCATGCTCTGATTTTGTCAATAATAAATTCACTTCATATCTCTAAGTTGAGCCTGATTTTCCCATGAAAATATTTGGTGAGTGATCTCTCTATAGGAACTTAGGACTTTTGAATAACTAATTAATGTGATGAAGTGGAAGCTACTTCATTGTTTACGTTATGTTTTACTTATATATTTTAAAACTACTACTACTATTGTTCATGCAATTATGCATTACTTGATTGTTGGTTTTATTTTTTTTACAAGTTCTGCATGCACCTTTCATGAAATATAATTGGACACCAGTCTGGTGTTTTATGGCCCTTCTTTATCATAGTTCTTGTAATCTTGGTATTTTGGTTTTTAGCTTTTTCTTTCTCAATTTAGCAGAATTTATGTTTCAGTAGTCTTGACGAATTCCAGAGTGTTTGATAATAATAACTAAAAATGGCTTGGCTGGTGCACTGGCTGGAATACAGTGGCCTAAGCTATTCAGATACAATGCTACATCTCTCCCAGTCTTTACCTCAACGCGTGAACCTTTTGTTAAAGTTTCTTTCCTCTATCCAACTGCAGAGGGCAGTGGTAGAGGCTTTGATGGGTGCCGGGAATCTAGCCAGGGTCAAAACATGACACACATTAAGCTAGTAGCATAGCATCAAAATGCTATGGAAAGCAAACATGCTTAATATTGTGAAGACACTACAGTTCAGATTATTATTTTAGAACTGGTTTTACATGTTACATGACCTACTATAATAATATATCACAATACCTATGACTGTGTACTGAAAAACTGTGGTTTAAGTCCTTTAGGCCAGGTACATTCTATACATACACTTTCTCTTCCAGTGGCAGTATCTGGAGAAAAAGTTCACTTCTCTTTGGTTATGGCTATTACAATATGAAACACTATTGTTCAGAACAGCTAAAATATCAGATGTGGCATCAAGTAACTTCTTCCTTCACTTGTGCTGCCTCTATTAACAAAATTATATTAGTTGGCATTAGAAAATTTAAAAGATCCACATAAAGAAGTTAATCTGCTGCTAGGTCCTTGAAAGTCATCACAAAACATAATGTGTAAATTGGGGTAGCATAGGTTACATATGGAAATATTTAGTTGCTCACAATTCACTGCACCATTCCCAATATCTACAGTTGTGTATTCCAGCTCAAAATGTTAATTCCTTCCATCACTGGAGTTTTTTAGCAGCTACGTGTACTATCTGAAGCATTAGGCATACAGTTTTGGAAAGTTATGAAAAGTATTTGCAGTTTTGTTTTGGGATGCAATTATTTTAACATGAGTCATTTCCCCACATTTTTTATTTTTAAGTAGATTTTAACATATTTTTCTGTATTACTATTCCACTACAACATCATTATATTACCAAAACTATTTACCATGGGCTATTTTCAGGGTGAAAGGATTTAAGAGGGTCAGATCCAAGCATATAGAAACCTCTTTGCTCATTTTGGAAACAAATGTTACAAGCCACAGCATTTTCTTTCTGGCCCGGTCAGCAAGACCTGACCTGGCATAGTAATGGTAAGACTTCGAGATGTTACACTGACTTTGAGAAGCTGGGATAGCATTACAATGAACAAGAATTTGCCTAAGCAAACATTTGAGGATTTTTAGTTAGTTTAAAAGAGCAGCCGAGGCAAACTCAACTATAATTCATAATGAATGGGCTGCTGATCTCAGGATGGATAAATGCTGCAGCCCTGTCTTACAGCCCCTGCGTTGGAAGAACTGGTAGGCTTCCCCCATTACCCTAAAGGGCATTAGTTAGTAGTCGTATGCTGCAAACCTGCCCTTCCCTGCACTTTCCTCTTGTCAGCCGTGATGTTTGCTAATGCTCTTGCAAGGCAGCAGTCTGCAGTATATGAACTGTGAGCACAAGCAACCCGGGGGGAAAAACCTCACCATTTTTACAGCTCTGTGGCTTCTCTGTGCTCCTAGTACTGGCCTCAAAATTTAACAACTTATGTAATAAACGGAAGTTATGTTCTCAGGCTGGAGCAGCCTCATGTTAAGGTGAAACTTGTTTTAGTTTAGGGCCATTGTTCCTCGTCCTGTCGCTGGATACCACTGAATAAATCTGGCACCGTCCTCTTAAAATGCCACCTGCCCTAAGAACTTCCTAAAATTCCCGAGTCGAGGGCCGTGACAACGTCTCTTGCCCGCTTGTCACAGCCCCGGGACCGTTGCAAAGTAGGTGTACAGCTATGAGCGCCCTATTGCCACGGGCACCGCTCCTAGGCGGGGCGTCTCCCCGGGCGGCCCCGCCAGCGCCATAACGGCCGCGCCGTCCCGACCCCGCCCGCCTTACGATCCCCGCGGAAGCGGCGGCAGTTCATGGGGCAACTTCCAGCCCGCAAGTCCCCTCCCAGATCTGTCCGCCGCTGAGGGCAAGACCTCGGCAGGGAAAATGAAAGAGCTCGCCCCCGCCCTAGGGCAGGAAAGCCAAGACCCGCCGCCCCACCGCCAGGCGACCCCTTTAAGCCGCCGGGCGCGCCAACTGGCCTGCGCCTCCACGGGATTGGCCCGCGCAGCCCGCCCACAGCCACAGCGCGCCAAACCTGCCCGGGAGCACCTCCCCTGCCTCCCCCCGCCCCTGCCTCGGCGGGCCAATCAGCGCCTCCTCCAGGGACCGGAGCCCGGCTTCTGCCCAATAGGATGGCAGCCACGGCACGGCCCAGGCCTCGGACCCCGCCCCTAGAGGCGCGGCCGCCGACTTTCCCGCCCAGCGGTTGGCCGGCGGGAACAGACTCCCCGTGACACCCGCGCCGGGCCGGGTGATTGGCTGCGCTCAGGCGCGAAACGTAACGCGGGAAAACCTGGGTCTCGGCCCGGGCTGCGAGCGCAGAGGTATCGCGGCGGCGGCCGCGGCTCCTCCTCGGGCATCGTCGGGACCGGGTCTGCCAGCGAGGCCGGCTTCGCTTCGGAAAGGTGCGGGGACGCTGTGACTGCTTCGCTCCGGCCGTTGCCATGGCCGGGGGCCGCCGCTGATTTGGCGGATCCGCTCAGGGGTGACCGCGGAGGCGGAGGGGGTGCGGAGGGGAAGGCACCGATACCACAGGGAGCCGCCGTCCTAAGTGATGCGTGGCTGAGGTGGGCCTGGGCGGCGACAGGTGGCGACGGCCGCGGGACCTCCGTGCAGCTGCACGGCCCGTCCCGGGACACGGGCGCGGACAGCGGGGCCGTGCCGCCGCGGAGCGCCGTCTTTCCCCTCTCTCTCCGTGCTCCCTTCGCCGCTGCCCGCGAGGGTTCGGCGATGGCGGAGCGGCTCCCGCCGGGCCCCCCCCCAGTGATTTTTTGCCAGGACTCCCCGAAGCGCGTCCTGGTCTCCGTTATCAAAACCACCCCGATCAAACCCTCCTCGTGGGGGAGCGGGGGCGAGGAGCCGATGCCCGTCCCGCCCGTCCCCACCAGCCCCGGCTTCAGCGACTTCATGGTCTACCCCTGGCGCTGGGGCGAGAACGCGCACAACGTGACCCTCAGCCCCGGCGGCAGCGACAGCACCGCCGGTCCGTCAGCCCTCCCGCCGCCCCGCGGGGGAGCGGGCAGAGTCCCCAGCGGGGACGAGGAGAAGGCGGGGAGCCCGGGAAGCGGCGGCCGGCACCGGCACCTGAAGGTGAGTGCGCGGCGGGCGGGGGCGGGCGGGCCGCGCGCTTACAGGGTGACTCCGCGGCGCGCGCCCCTCCCGCGCTTCCGCCCGGACATTTAAAGTGAAGTCACTTCCGGCAACGGCGCGCGCGCCCCGGGGAAGCGGGGACGGGGCAGCTGCACGTCCTCCTTCCTTTCAAAAGTAAAAAATAAACCTAAAAAACACACCTTCGCCGTTGAAAACAAAAACCCTCTTGTCCTCTCCTCGCATCTGTTGTGCTTTGTCCCGTTCTGGGCTCCTCAGTACCAGAGAGACGTGGAGCTCCTGGGGTGGGTCCAGTGTAGGACAACAAAGATGATTAAGGGACTGGAGCACGTCTCTTAGGAGGGAAGGCTGAGAGAGCTGGGCCCGTTCAGCCTCTAGAAGAGACGATTGAGAGACAACCTTATTAATGGATATGAATATCTAACAGGGTATGACAAGGGGATGGAGCCAAGATCTGCTTGCTCGTGACAGGCTATGGAAAATAAAGGCAACGGGCAGAAACTGATACACAGGAAGTTCCACCTCAATATGAGGAGGAATTTCTTTATTGTGTTGGTGACTGAGCACTGGCACAGGCCGCCCAGAGACGTTTTGTAGTCTCCCTCACTGGAGATGCTTGAGACCTGCCTGGAAACAATCCTGTGCCATGGGCTCTAGAACGGCTCTGTTTGAGCAGGGAGGCTGGAGCAGATGACCCACTGTGGTTCTTTTCAACCTGACCCCTTCTGTGATGCCGTTGTCAGTTTCTCCCCTTGGTGCTGAGGACATGGTGATGTCTGTGATCTCCCCTCCTGCACCAGCTACAGCACAGTTATTAGGAGTGAGTTAGAAATAGGCTGGTGTGGCTCTGCTGTCACGGCACCATCCTTGGTCATGCCATTGCTCCAGGAGATGCCGTGTCCGTTGGCCAAACTGCAGGGGGAAGGAAGTGCCTGAGTTTAGTTGCCTCGTTATTTACACCCAGGATGGAATAAGACGTGGCCGTCCAAGAGCAGACACCGTCCGAGACCTGATCAGTGAAGGAGAGCACTCTTCCAGCAGGATACGCTGCAATATTTGCAACAGAGTCTTTCCACGAGAGAAATCACTGCAAGCCCATAAACGAACTCACACCGGTGAGTAAAAGGAAGGTATGACTAGCTGGGGAGAGCCACTTAGGAAACGCGAGCAAAGGGATTAAACCCCCCAAACAAACATAAAGGAACCCTAAAGATCCTGAGCTGTCATGATTTTACTGTAATTGCTAAATTAATCATACTTTGCTCTCATTGCTTGTTAGTCAACCAAAGTCTTTGTAACCATGTTTGTCCTGGGGGAAAATAGCAGCACTTTGGACTATAATAATATAGGCAAATGGTCTGAACATTTTATCTATTGGTGTTACAGACTCACTTTGTAAGAGAGAGAACTAGTCTTGGGCTTGGTGCTCTGTACTTGAGCTTGGTAGCACTTTGTATCCTAATTGCCTCTTTGTGATTTGTTTCCTCCTTGCTGATGTATTTTTCGCATCACAACTGAAGTTTTGCTGTAAGAGGTTACAGTAACTAAAAAAGAGGCTGGCAACTGCAGGGTTGTAACATCCTAGGAAGTGTGCTTAAATATTGAGAGAAGAATACACAAGCTTAAAATCAGCAGCCAGTTGTTTTTTCCCACCGCTTAAAATTCGTTTTCTAGGGTGGAGGAGATCATGCTAATTTACTGAACTATGTTTAGAATGCAATTTGCAGTTAAGTTAAAATATATGATGAACTCACTCAATACTCAGCTGAGTTTGAACTGAAGATGCAGTTCGGGTTTTATTTTTAAAACCAAGAAAATACATTTTATTTCTACAACAGAACTCCGTATTTTTCTATAAATTACGAAAAAATGTAGCTCACAATCTCCTTTTGACTCAAATCACTATGACCAATCTAGATAATGATATTAAACAGCAGCATTCCTCATGTTTTTTGGTCAAAAGATGTTATTTCACTTGGTGCTACAATGTGTTGAACTTGTAAGAATGACCTAACTGAGTAGAGCTTATCTTGTCATTCCTCTGAATTAGTGAGCCAGACTCACCCTCACTTTGTTGCCTTTCTGAGGGTGGTGGCATGGCATGTCTTTGTCTAGTGCTTGAGGAAGGAAACACCTGTTACCTTTGTTCTTCTGGTTGCAGTTTGCATGGAGAAATCTTCCTTGATGACTGTCCTAAGAAAAGTTAAATCTAGAATAAGTTTCTCATGCAGCCTCCATCATTATAACTTTATCTAAACATGAGATATTTCTACAACCTTGTAGTAATGATAACTGCAGATATTTTACCCTAGTTCAGGCTATGGTAAGGATAAAATTTTTCTGGTTACAACCTGCATTACATTACTTGTCCACTTATTTTGTCTATTTCTTGCTCTACATAGGCACAGTTTCACAAAACTTACACAGTGCTATCTAAGAGTCTTAAATCAGAAAATATGACAAGGAGAAGTAAATTTTTGTTTCTCTTTGGAAATAGGTATATTGTCCAGTAGCATAGAGCATACACTTCAGAGTACACTAGGGTTTTTTAAGTAGATGTATGTTTCTTAGTGGGTAAAAGGAGAATTTGTTTGTGCAAGTCTCAAGCCGGGGAGCACCACTGGATACTATAACACTTCTAGTCATCTTTCATAAATCTCTTCTTTTACTGCTTTTAAGGTGAGAGGCCTTATTTATGTGACTACCCAGATTGTGGGAAAGCCTTTGTACAGAGTGGGCAACTCAAAACTCACCAGCGTCTCCACACGGGAGAGAAGCCTTTTGTCTGCTCAGAGAATGGTGAGTCATCAGAGAAAAATTTGCAGCTTTCTGGGGTCAGGTTAATATTGGAAATGTATGCATGTTCACATGGCAAAAGCTTTGGAGTTTAATTTTGGTGGAACTTTTAGGGAAGGGGAAAGCCATGCAGAATCTGCCTAATTCTGCAAGTATGTATCTAAGGATTGCATACATTCTCTGTCAGTGGATACTAAGATAAAAATAATGGGGCATGTTAGTTTTGCATGTGGTTTTCAGCCAAACCTAGGGTTTTGTGAGTGGGGAAGGGTGGATTCAGTGGCATTTCTGTCCCACAGATGTTACACTTTTCTCTGGTCGGCTGCTTTCTGTAACACATTCTTCATGATCACTCTGTTTTTTTTAGGCTGCTTAAGCAGATTCACGCATGCAAACCGTCATTGTCCCAAACATCCATACGCCCGACTGAAGAGGGAAGAGCTCACAGACAGACTGAGTAAGAAGCAGACGGCTGACAATAAAGCTGTGGCTGAGTGGCTGGCAAAGTAAGTTCCCTCATGGTGTCATTTTTCTCAAAACACTTTAAAGAGTGGTCTGACACAGCATTTATTCTTCAGGACAGTAAAATCCCAAGAAAGTAAAACTAGATGTTCTTCTAGTACACATCAGCACAGCCTTGTCTCTCCTCAAAGAATTATGAACTCCTGGTCAAGACGAAGTTCCTCATGAAACTTTTTTCTTACAGTTTTGTTTTGTTTCGTGTTTGCTCTCTGCTTAAATACTTTTTTTTGCTTGATCAACACTTGCTAATACTTTATTAACTAGTGCTACGGTTTTGCTGAATTTGCATTTGTATGAGGGACTCTGTATGCCTAGGGAGAAATGCCTGCTGAGAACACCATGGAGACAAGAAATCTGTCACAGATGTTCACTTGGACACTTTACAGTTAAAACACTGAATAAAGAAGGTTTCTGACAGCTTAAATGCTAACATGTAAGAGCTGAAAGATAAAGCCAAGTGCACTGCCCAGTTGGATGCAAGCTAGTACTTGGGAGGTTTTTGCTCATTTTCAATTGTTGGTATGCGAGTCAGTTTTATGTATTTTACAAGTATTCCTCGAATTTGATGTTATAGGTACTGGGAGACTAGAGAGCAGCGTGCTCCTGCTTTGAAGACCAAAGCAATCCAGAAAACGGATCAGGAACAGCAAGACCCAATGGAGTATCTTCAGTCTGATGAAGAGGATGATGAAGAGAAAAACAGTGCTCATTCAGCTGCCCGGCACCGCCGCCTCCAGGAGCAGCGTGAACGCATGCACGGCGCGCTGGCGCTCATCGAGCTTGCAAACTTAGCTGTGGCACCCCTGAGACAGTAGATAGAAGGAGCAGTCTCTGCCCATAAAAAAAGTACTTTCTGGTGTTCCTTAACCAGTTAGATCCCAAGCATAAGCTAAGCACCTTATTTGCTTATAATAGGCTGCTATTCTGTAGAATTTATGAAGAATGTTGTTGCCCCATAACATGGGGTGAGAGAATTGCACTTTTGATAAGGTAGAAGACAGATGTAAAATTTCTAAGTATTTTGTAAATATGGGACTGCATAAGGCAGAGTTGACAAATTTATGTGTCATGGGAAGCTAGATTTTGCAAGGTTAACTCATTTATCTGAAGCAGATTTCACAGGAAACACTTTATGAACAAAGTGTTCATGATTAGCAAGGATGGTACATGTGGCCAAAGAAGGCTGACTAAAAAGTATTTATCTGAGTATCTAGCAAAGTGATGGGTCTGGGGATATTGTTAAACAGCAATGAAACCATGTTTTTCTAATGTCAGTGTATCTTTACCTAGCATCTCCAAGGCGATGGGCAATGGTTAGTTATCTCAACTTGTACAGGGAAAGAAAATGCTTCATGCAGGGAATATCTTCACTGTGACTGCCCAAGGTATGAGGCTTGACTTTGCTGCTTCACATTTTTTTGATTTGATTTCAGCAGAATCTCTTGGTAGCACTTGTTATTCCTAACACGTGTAGTTGGGAAGTTTTGCACATTGTTTTATCTGAAAATGATTAGTCTTGCAAAGTCTAGAAAAACTAAAAAAATTGGTAATATTTTTTCAGGTGGTTTTGGGCCCCGTAGTGATTTGGCACTTGATTTTGTTAATAAAGGGGTTATTTACAGGGTGGTATGAATTTGTAGTGAACTATTCTAGGTCTTTTATTAGCAAACACTAAGTTTTAAAAGTATTGCTTTTATAATGATTAGCAAATAGAAGCCTCCATACTTACTGAGCATAAAGCCACCTTACTGCTTTACTCCAGCATAACATGCCGATTTTTTGTTCACTAACCATAGCACAGCTATAAACACTGCAGAAAAGTATTCACTTATACAACTAGAAAATAGGCTTCCAAAGGTAGTTACAAGTGTGTTAACAGTGTGATTTCATATATTTCCCAAATAAGTTGCAGAATGCTGCCTAGTATTCAGATGCTGATATAAAATGTTTAACAGGGTATCTTGTCACTTTGTGAATCTTGTATACTTTCAGTAGCATTGTCTCATGGTGATCTTTTACCATATTTTGCTTTGAAGGCAGCCAGAGATTCCTAATATGCTAACAAAACTTTGTTTTCAGATTGGACTTTGTGTGTGGTTTTGTTGTTGGTTGTTGTTGTTGTTGTTGTTAAGCTACTGCTTAAGGGGATATTAATAATGTGTATTTACTGACCTGCTTGCTTTAACTTGTTTCCTCTAGTAGGAAGTCAGGAAATTCAGATGAGAAGGGAAGCCTCTTTCCCTCTCACTTGAACTGAAAAGGAAGAAATCATTTTATCAATCACTTGATATGGGCTGACCAGATGCATACAGCTGTTCCAGAAGAGTAGAGTGGTTTTACACCAGAAACTGCAGCTGTTGAAGTATGTTCTCTGATAACCTGTTTGTGGTTGAAAATCTCATTAACCCAGTTTGTTTAAATCCTGTGTTGATGCACTTAACTAAAAAGTAATTGAATAATTAAAAAAAAAAGTTTCTTGCATTGAATGTAAATAATTTTGCACCAGTGATACGGTTTAACTTCTGCTTCAGCTTCTGAAAAAAATAGGAAACACTAGTCCTACAAGGCTTCTTTGCCTTCATAAAAATGGTAATTCATGTATGTAGGTTTTGGGTTTCTAAAAAGTGTTACATGCTTCTGAATGTTCATCTGGCTTCATGTGAATAGTCTGATGCCAAAATGGGCCCTGAATGTACATCTGTTGTAATTCTGAATCATAATTCAGAGGAGTATTTCACAGGGCAGAAGACTGCAATTACCAGCCACTTGCAGACTGGAATATTACTTCATCAGGATTGGTTGTGGGTGTTTTGGTGGGTTTTTTTTGTTGCTGGGTTTGAGGTTTTTGATTTTTTTTTTTTTTTCAGTCAGGCAGAATATTTCCTCAGGTCTTTGAAGTATGACAAGTACACTGGATTGTACTTTGCCATAGACAAAATTCAGACAGCTGAAGCAGTTTTGGATCATGACAAGTTTTGGGTAAAATATCAAGAAAAAAAAAGCAAAGATGGTATGTGGAAGACTGCTTTTTGTTTTATTGAGTGATTACATACAAGGAATTGTTTGGTGCTTTGAAAGATTTAAGTTGTAGTTTGGCATGAGTTAAGAGCAGAAGAGTTGATGTGCTGTCATTCTAATAGATGCTTTGAATAAAAACTTGATTCATTTTCAGGTTTAATGAGTGCTGTTTGGTAATTATTAAATACTCAGCCTCTTCCTAGTTTCTGACAGCTCGACTTGTTGCAGAGAAGGTTGAAGGTGATTATCTTCCCTGTCCCTTGAAATTTGACACAAGTTAAACCACCGAGGCAAATTCCGTAGAGCGTTTTTTACAGTTTGAGAAATTTGTGAGAGCGCGGCCCTCCATGCGAAGCCCAGGCGGAGCTCCGGGGGTGCTGAGGGCTGGCTGCAGCCCTGTCCCTGCCGTGTGCCCCGGCGGGGCGAGCCCCACAGGCCCGCTTTGCCACCGGCCTGCTGTAGCAGCACAGCAGGATGTTGCGGGGCTCTGCTGCAGCTCGGCAGCCGCTGAGTCATTGCCCGGGGGCGCGGCGGCCCCGCGCGGTGCCGGTGCCGGTGCCGGTGCCGGTGCCGGTGCCGGTGCCGGTGCCGCCGCCCAGCCCCTCACGCCGCGCCCGGCCCTGGCGGCGGCAGCGCCCCCCGCAGGCGCGGCGCGGCGCCGCTCCAGACCCGCCCGCGGGGCCGCCGCGCCCCGGCCCCGCCGCGCCCTGGACCCGCCGCGCCCTGGATCCGGTGCAGCTGCCGCCACTCGGGGACGGGCTGGGGAGAAGGAGGAGGAGGAGCGGCGGCCCCACGGCCGCCCTGGTGCCACCCGACTCGTGGCCCTGCTCGGCGCCGCTCGTTCGCCGCCATGAGCGCCGGTCAGGCAGCGGAGGAGGAGGGGGACGCCGCCGCCGAGTCCCCGGCACTTCCCAGAGTGCTCTCGGCGGTCTTCTACGGGGCGACCTCCTTCCTCATCGTGCTAGTGAACAAGTCGCTCCTCAGCGCCTACAGGTGAGCGCCGGGGCAGAGCGGGCGGGCTCCCCCCCGGAGCCTGGCACAGGTGTCCATCCCTGCCCGGCGGAGAAGCGTTCCCGCTCCTGTTCCCCTTCGCGTTGGCTTCCGTGCAGCTCGGATCCCGGACAGCCAGCTAGTGGGTAATGGGCTGGGAGCCGGGGCAGTTTCTCCGGTTTCAGACCGCACTTGTGCCCAGTATGTACCATTTCTGCAGTATCGCCCGACGGCGGGCACAGTTCCGACGACACCCGTCTTTTCCTCGAGGTCTTTGCGCTATTCCCAAGGGATCGGACCACTTCAGACATCCCTGAGAGAAACAGCGTATGCCCTAACTGTTCCTGCCGAACAGTACCTTCCTTCCAGCATCTTTCTTTTCTGAGGTAGCCAGAAACGAAAAGTGAAGCTCGTAAAGTGGCTTAATCATGAAAATACGGAAAGATTGCGTCCTTGACTTGATGGCGCTAATTCCCCATCATGGTGGTAACTAGCATCTTGTACCATTGTGTACAGTAACAACATTAACTGCAGACCTCTTACAGTTTGCATTTTACTCTTAGTCTTTCAGCTGTGGGAAGCAGAGGAACTTGAGCATTCGTCTCGAAGTCATACTTTTCCCATCTAGATTTGTACGTTTTGGACTTCGATCTTCCTTGTGGGTTCTTTCTGACTTACGATAGTTTATGATTCTGTGATTGTCCTGTGACTGCCGTTTTTCTCGCTATTAACATGTTTTACTTAAAATCTTTGCTCCGTTTTTGCTGTGGTTTAGCTCATCTTGAATCAAAATAAGAAGAAAACCGAAATGAAAAGAAAGTTTAAAAGCCAAACTTACTGTTGTTTTCTAACATTCGGTGCTATTTGAACATATAGCAGCTGTGTTTAATATGTCTCATAAATTGTACATGGTGCAAGTTGAGGTTTTCTTTTATAGTGGTTTTTATCCTACAGACCACAGCTTCCTGCAAGTCCCTGGCATAGATCTAGCACATCTGTGTGAGATAATCGAGTACAGTATGTCCATCAGTAAGCCTAAGTTTTGTATTAAGACCTTGCAGCATTGCTGGAAATATTTACGCCTCTGCAAATCACAAATGTCTGGAGAAATCTGTGTAGTGCAGATGGGTGAACTCTCCATTTTTATACAGAGTAGCTGTAAATACTAAACAAAAGGCAGTTTAGGTGTCACATGATTTTAAATGAAAAACGTGCTGTTTCTTACGTTTTTCCTGCCCCCAATACTTCTGTTTCCCTGAATTTCTTTTGCTATCGGTTGCTCCTAACCCTGTGTAAGGACTGTAACGCTCTTATAGCCTTCCTGCTGTGAGTCAGCGCATTTGTTTATTTTGCCAATGCTTTGTTCCCATCCTAATTATGTTAATTTGAGGTGTCATGAAGTTCAAAAAGGCCAAATGCAAGGTCCTGCACCTGGATCGAGGCAGTCCCAGGCACAAATATGCACAGAGAATGGGTCAAGACTAGCCTTGGGGAGAAAGACTTGGGGGCGTTTGTGGACAAAAAGCTGAATATGAACCAGCACTGTGTGCTTGTGGCTCAGAAACCCAACCACCTGAGCTGCATCAGAAGTGTGGCCAGCAGGTCTAGGGAAGGGAATCTGTGCCCATGCTCAGGTGGGACCCCACCTGTAATAATGCATCCAGGTCTTGCCTCCACCCAACACAAAGAAGACGTGGACCTGGTGGAACTAGTCCAGAGGAGGGCACTAATCACAGTGGCAGTGATCGCAGGACAGCAGCACCTCTCCTGTGAAGGCAGGCTGAGAGACAGCGTTGTTCAGCCTGGAGAAATTCCAGCAAGACCTTATTGTGGCTTTCCAGTACCTAAAGGGAAGAGCTCAAGAAGGACTTTCCAGAAGGCCATGTAGTGATAGGACAAAGGGAAATGGCCTTAAGCTGAAAGAGGACAGGTCTAGATTGATATTAGGAAGAAATTCTTTACTGTGAGAGTGGTGAGGCACTAGAGTAAGTTGCTCAGACAGGTTGTGGACTCCCCATCCCTAGAGGTGCTCAAGACCAGTCTGGATGGGGCTTTGAGCAATCTTGAGTAGTGGAAGGTGTCCCTGCCCATGGCAGGTTTGGAACTAGGTGATCTTTATGGTCCCTTCAAGCCTAAACCATTCTATGATTCTATCCATGCTTTCAGCTAAAGCCAGCTGAAGGGTTATAGTAGGAATGTGGCTAATTTAGTAGGAAATAGATGTTTCTACAACATTTATCTAAGAACTTGATTATGACAAAAACATATTGCTAGTACGTTTGGACTGCAGAGATAAGCTTCCACATTAGAGCAAGTGCAGGAGGTTTAAGTTACTCTCCCATATCAGGATTCAAAATGTATATGTGAAGCTACTCAAGAAACAATGCATTAAGAGTTCTCTAATGTGAGAGGTAAGAGTTCTCTTACCTTCACTTATGAGTATCTCCCAAACAGCTAACAGTTCAGAATTGATCAACTGTGCATGGGCTGTCTTATTTGGACTGCAGAAATAAAATATTACTACTACAGTAAGTGTAGTCCTGTGCTCTTCTTAAACACAGGCCAGTCATCCTCATGTTTAATTGCTGACTTTGGTATTAAACTTTAACTTTTTTATTTTTTCCTAATTATTTCTTTCCATTCCTCAGTACTAAATATTTGTTCATGCTTTTCAGCTTCCCATCACCAATGTTTCTTGGAATTGGACAGGTATGTTCTCAAGTAAAGCGTATTGAAAGTATTCATCATTTCATAAGGTAAACTAATGATAATAGAGGTAGATTTTAGGGGGCCAAATCACTATAACAAGCAGTTATAGTGAACTGCGTGTCTCCTGGACTAGATACACTATAAGGAACTGTGATTTATTTCATTGAAAATAGGCAACTTCGGGCTTGAGTCAAAATTATTGCCTGGAGAGAGTCCTGTAAAAGGCTGGAATGCTATTTATTTCTCCTTGTAAAGTTCAGTAATTAAGGAATCTGGCCTTCAAAACTGTCCACCTTTGTTCTAGCAAGTGCATACATTCTGTGAGGGTCCTTGAGCTTTTGTGGACTACATGCAGAGATATTGCCCCTGTTTGTAGCCAAACCACATGTTTCCTCATAAATTTTTCCCCATTTCCCAGAAGTTTTCAGTAGAACCATTGCAAAATTTTGATTCTTTTTTGCTTTGCTTGCCCATGGGTAAGTTGCAGTATTGCAGCAGAGATGTTTTTTATTATTTTTGTTGTTAGGAGGCATCATAGCAAAGCCAAAGTTGAAATACTTGTGGACTGTGTCCATAAAAAGAATGTATTACTGCAGAGGGATCATTGATAAAGACTGAGCCTTGAAGCAAGTGTTGTTTAGGCAAACAAATTTTATACAGAATTTGCCTTCTGCCAAGGCTGCACAGCAGGGGGTAGCGAGGAAGAATTGGAAACAGGGTACTGCAAATCTAACATCTCTGCTGTTAGAGAGAGTAAAATGTCTTGTAAAGACTTTGTGATGTGATAGAGAGTTTTACACATCCAGACTCCCCAAGGAAGCACAGATCATGTTTCAGTGAAAGGCTAGAAAATGTGGCAGTAATACATGTCTTGATGCAGCTTTTTTCTTTGCAGAATCCAAGACTTAATCACATTTCCATTTTTTTGTTGAATGATCGTTCCAAGGTCTTCCTGAACATTATATAAAGTGTATGTGATATGGTGTAGTGCTTTAGTCTGCAGAATATGACTCCACTTCATCCTCTAGATAGTTAATTACTGTATTTTTGTATTAGGAAAATTTGACCTTTTGTTTTGACTCCCTGGGGACAGAATTAACACCTATGATGTATGATTGCTCAGATATTTGTCTTCATTCTGTCTGCATCTTTATTATCTCTTCCTCATGTTGTCAAACTGATTAATGCCCAATCTCCATCTTATATTACCAAAAAAAGTTTTGGGAGTGATTCTGCAGACTAAAACAATTATCTGAGTACAAATTTCATGATTTATTTGGGATTGTGTCTATTTTATTTTCTCAGCATGCATTGTTTCACAGAGAGCCACTAATTTTCTTCAGGATAATAAAGTATATATGTGTATTCTACTTTTAAATATATAGCTGGCAAAAATGATAAGAGCAAAATTATTTCAATTTGTTAATTGCATTCTCTGCTGTTCTTTTAGAGAAACACATAAAACCTAGCATTTGTCAAATTTGTTTAAAAATTTTGTGTTTGAAGCAGTTTTTTCATTCATATATTGCAATTTCGCTCTTACATGACTTCTCATTTTTTCTTTTTTGTTTAGATGATCGTCACTATACTTATCTTGTATGTGTCAAAACTAAATAAGACTGTTGACTTCCCTGATTTTGATAGAAGTATACCTGTGAAGGTGAGGATCACATATGTTCTGGTATTAATAGGAAAGAGTTAATTCTTATAGTAACGTTCTTTCTTACAGAGACAAGAAAAACATTTACATTTCTTTTTCAAATTGAATTATTTGTGTCATTGTTTCATTTAAAAATTTATTTGATAATTTTCTCTGCAGTGTTCTAGTTTGGGCTATAAACTCTGCAGAGAAGTCTGTTATATGTTATGCAGCACATGGGAAGGGTTCTTTACTTTTATACCGCTGGATGAACACTTTCTTATTCCTGAAGGGTTTTTCTGGATATAGCTCTCTATGGGATCAGTGGGAGATAAGTGTTTACAAAAGATTTGAAAACAGCATGAAGAGAGAAAGGCTGCTTGGAAATATGAATGGAGCACATGATAAAATAATAGAAATATAGTGTGACAGATGAGAAACCAGAGCAACAGCTGACTCCCAGTATAAGATTTATGTTCCATAGGAGGGACTAAAATAATGCCCACTAAAAATGCTATAGATGGTGACTAGCTGCATCATACAGACCTTAAATGTGTATGATCTAAAGAGATAGGGCAGAACAAATGTGAGAGGACCTCCTCTTAGCTCACTTTGGGAACTAGGATGTAAAATGAATACAGCAATGATCTCGAAGATTTTTGCATCTATGCAATGTTGCTGGAATGTTTCTTTGATGCATTAGCCTGTGTGTTTATGTCTAGTTGCAGGTTATCAGTTGTGCTTGCTCCAGGACACAGGGAGTGTTCCCAACCCTGCTGCAGGGCTCAGATAGTATAGCTTTTCAGGCCCACATATTTACTGAAGAATCTTGTTTTATTATCAGTATGAGGTTTACAATGGATGTCTCACAGATACATTTATTCTTAATGCTTGTTGGAATCATTGGCATTTCTACATGTACAAGGCTTAGAGAAAAATCTGTGGTATCATTCATAAAATGGACAATTCTTCTTTATTCCAGAATAAGAAATGCTTCCCAGTGGGTAGCTTTGAGTTCCACTTACAAACAACTTATTGAGACCTTGACAAGTTTCTTCCCTCCGTCCCCACCAAGTCCCACTGTACTTCCTCTCTGCTGTTTTCTTCACTTTAACTTATGTTAAAAAAATACAGCACACATTTTCTTTATCCTAATAATATCTGTTGTTTGGAAGACTTTGCTGGATAGGCTGCAAGCAGTCAGCATTTTAGCTTCCAGGACTTGTACATTGTTTGTAGTCCTGGATTTGACTAGTCGTAGTGAATCAGCTGGATTGCTCATTGTTGATTTCTCTACTTTTTAAGGAACTCTTAGGCCAACTCCTTATCCTTTTGTCAACTTTTGCTTTGACACTAAGATAATCATTACTTTTCACTCCTCAGCTGGTTTATGTCTTTACTGCATTCAACGAGTAGTTGAATGCAGTAAAAGTAAAAAAAGTAATGAAATGCTTATTTTAGTGGTGAAGCTTTGAAGTTCCTGACCCTTTTAAAGTAAATGATTCACCAACCTCTGCTGTTGTGCTGGATGTTGTAATATTGTCTTTACAATGGAATGAATTTCAGAGGAAACATAATATAATATCTGCTCTGGTTTTAGCCTATAAATTAAATGAACCCAAGTGCTCTAAATAAAAGTCTGCAGATGAGATAGTGCATTACAAAATTTTTGCCAACTTATGTCAACAGGCTGAATATTTGTCGTTACTCATACTCCTGCTTTCTTTATAGCTCTGTTTACTCTCACTGTAACTTTCACTTAAAAGTTAACTTCAGTTGACTATCAGTTGACTTTTACTTCACCTTTGTTTTTCTCGCTTGCTGTGGAAGAAATGCAGAATTTTTAACATAGATAAAATACACTCCAGTCCTCTGTATGCTTTTCCAGCAAAGTTTAAGAATGCGTAGCCTTTGACTTTAGTGTCCTCTAAAGTGTCCCTGTGTAGAAACAAGAGCAACTCTTACACATTGGGATAGAAGATCTTTGATGTCTTTTTGCCATTTCAGCCCCTCTTGACTGATAGTGAACAGGACCAAATGTACACACCTCCTTTGTCCCCATTGATTATGTTGGTTGGTTTAAATCTTCCACAAATTCCAGCCTCACCCATTCTGTGATACTGTAATTTTATCTGTAGCAGGAAAATTAATGTCTTTGAATTGCAGCTGATTATTGTAAGGATCCATGTCTTCTTGTACATTTTCTTAGGGCTCTGAACTTCCATTATTGATTATCTATATTGTGTTATGGACCATATGTTTCTGTGCAAGTCAGTCTCTTTGCTGGAAGCAAAGTTTAATTTATTCGTAATACTTACCTTTCCTTTCTAGTGTCTTTCTAGCATAATTTTCTGGGTAGATCTAAAATGGTGTGACTTCCAGCTGTATTAATATATATGGAATACATAGAGAAGCACAGCATACTTACAGTTTATTAACTTTTTTATCCCACCTCTTCACTTGCTTATTTAGCTGCTGTTTTTAATATTACTTTAATACCTAAAATTAAATATTAAAATGGGCACTAATCTGAGGATTATAGTAACTAAGTGATTAACATTTACTCTAAATGGATTCTAAGTCTCATTAGTGGTAGATTGCAACTCTTTCAATGACATCAGTGAAGCTGTGGTGATGACCAGACACGTAAATGGGAGCTGCAGATGAGTTTGCAGCATAGTTACATTTTTTTCCTGTTAAAAAAACCTTCTTTCATGACAAAAGTACATCTGATATGACAGGTATCAAATTCTCTTAACTAAAGTTTCTCAGCTTTAATTTAATTCTATCAAGTAAAATTTCTCAAATTCTATCAACTGAAGTTTCTCAAACTACTTCTGAACTAAATAATCTGAGTTGTGTTTTTAATTTTATCACAGTTGTTCCCTCTGCCTCTGCTTTATATTGGAAACCACTTAACTGGATTATCAAGTACCGGCAAACTCAGGTACAGTAAGTAAGAAGTTATAAGTAGATTGTTTGGATTTTACCCTTTTCTCTTGTGGGGTAAAAAAGAAACACTAAAGAAGAGCATTGTCTAGACTCTTAAATTCATGTTGTGTCTGTCTGCCTGTCTGTCTAAACCCCTGGTACTGTTAGAGAATTTTTACCCAAACATTTGATCAGTTTACACGTTGTCTGCTTCCTTTAAGGGGAGCTTAGCCAGGCCTGTACTGACATAAAATCACGATATTCCTGTGTGACCATGAGAGTGCTTATACATTCACTCACGCCCAACCATCCAGCTTTTCCTGGGTGTCCTAACCAGAGAGTTGGAAAACTTTAAGGTGTTTCTGAAGGAAGAACCATAAGGAAAATATTTGTACAATGATGTCATGGCAGATATTTAGGAATCACCAAGAGATGAAAAAGCTTCTGTGTAGTGTGGTGGTGGTGGCCTAGCCCTGCTGAGTGTCAAAAGCAGATTGCCAGGGAGCAGTCCTGAAGGATGCCTTGACTCCCATGTGCCTGTGAGTGTAGATCCATGAGAGTTGCTTCCATGCTAGTGCTGAAAAAGGAGTAAGTAATGTACACATGCTCTAACACAATGAATGACTGTATTTTCTGTGGAAGACAAGCACAGAAGAATGATGGCTGCACCAAGACTGATGGATATAACACTACCACTGTGGTGGTTTTTTTATGTCATCGTAGCCTTCTGAGGGTTTGGTACCAAGCTAGACCAAACCAGATTTTTGCAGGTTTCTGTGCATTTCATAACTATGAGACAGATGCTAGGAAGGGAAATAGAACCACAGAGCTATAGAATTGTCAAGGCTGGAAAAGACCTTTAAGATCATCCAGTCCAATTGTCAACCCAGCACTACCATTGCAACCCTGGACCAGTAACCTGGTGCCAGATCTAAACACCTCCAGGGATGGTGATTCCTCCACCTCCCTGGACAACCCACTCTAGTGCCTTATCACCCTAACAATGACATTTTTTTCCTAATATGTAGTCTGAATCTCCCCTGTCTCAGCTGAAGGCCATTGCCTCTGGTCCTCTCACTGCAGGCACAGTAGAGGAGACCGGCCATCACCTCACTACATCCTCCTTTCAGGGAGTTATAGAGAGTGATGAGGTCCCCCAGTGTATTACTTTTAATTTGTTTACATTTCTTTTTATTTATAGAATTAATGTTCTCTAGCTATGAACAGTAGATGCGTGATTCTGCAGCTCTTTGTTGAATGTGTTCACAAGCTGTTCCACTGAAACAGACATAAAGACTTAGGCAGTACTGTGCCACTTCAGCCATTGTGAATGTGAAAGTAGCTTCAAAACTGTAAAAGCTGACTTCTTCTTTCCCTTTTCTCTGACTGTAAATTTAAATGTTTAGTAGGGTATATAAATGTACCTTCTCCCTCACCTGTGGCTGGTAGACCTATTTTAGATTTAATAGTTGTTACTGATTTTTATAACAGAAACTATAAAATGCCTGAAGTGTTTCTACCGTTAACATTTTGTTACATTACATTTTGTTACAATATATGACACTTACTGAAATCATTGAATTCTCCAATTTGTTTGCATTGTCTGGAGGGTGCAGATGACCCTATGCGTAAATTCAAAATATCTGTTGTAAGGTTATTAAACATTGTATTAGGAATTGTGTCATCTATTTATGTAATTGTTAATAATTATCTTAAGCAGGGGATTAATTGGTCCATACGGCCGTGCTGTCATATTTACAAGTGTCAGATGCATTTTCTCACCCAGAAAGGTTTCCAACTGCATTACTGCATGAAGATCAACAATATGTTGCTATAAGAAACAGTTTGTTTGGTAGTTGCAGCTGGTCCCACCTTTCATGTGTCTTGTATTTCCTCCAATTTTTTGGTCATGGATTTATTTTACTTTTTTCAAAATACATCTTGTTTACTAAGCATGTTTTCTTTGTATTTTATTTGTTATATGTTTTCAGAGACAGATTTATTGTCTTCTTTGTCTATGAATTTTGTAGAAATAATTCTTTCATAAGGGTAGGTAGAAAATACCTACTATGTTCCATTTCAGTAATGCAGAGGGACCTTCAGAACATAGCCATTGATTTACAAATGGGCAAAGCTTACTATCTTTCAATGATTTGGTTGTCTAATGTGCATCTAATATCAGACTGACATTTTTACATATGTACTAAATGATTTGGTGTTTGTTTTGGTTTCTCATTGCTGGACTAATTGTTCCATTCCCTGGGCTAGTAAAATAAGAGCGTATAAGAATGCTGTTAATCTGATCCTATGCTTGGATTTTTATTTTGTCTTTTTGACAGTTTGCCGATGTTTACAGTGCTCAGGAAGTTTGCCATTCCACTTACTTTACTTCTGGAAATCATCATACTTGGGTGATCCTTTTTGTTTGTTTTTGGGGTCGTGTTTTTGGTTTTTTTTTGTTTTTTTGTTGTTTTTTTTCGTTTAAGATACCTTTATTTTAGATCATATCAAATGGATTACTGATGTCATCTCATCAAAATATTCAATGAGTGATTTTTACTTACAAATAGAGAAGAGCAAAGAAAGTGATTTATGTAGCTTTTTTTGAAGGCATAGATATACACATTTTAGTGAAGAGAGGGAAAAAAATCTACTTGCCTTCAGTTTCATGTCTCCTTCTCTAGATTGTTACAAGGGTTTTAGGTCAGCAGATGCAACTTAGACACTTTCAGTGGTTATGTTTGTGTCTTGTCTTGGAGGCTCCTAAACTGCTTCAAACAGACAGGTCCTTCTATCTCCAAAGAATGCTGATAGCATGGCAGTCTGCTTATGTAGAGTAACTGTCTGGGTCAAGTCTGAAAACATACCAGGTTAATGAAGCAAAATGGCATCTACCAGTTGTTAGATGAGAGAATTCCTTACTTACACATACCTATGCTATTTTTCATGAAAAATTACAAAGGGCATGCTAGCTGCTCAGGATCTCTAATTTCAGTAGTACTGAGTTGGAGGAACAGGAGTATAAATACATCATACTTCGTATCGAACTTCACAGTTCTATCCACATGGCTGGTGCTGGACTCACAAGATGAACTCACAAGGAGAAAACCAGCTTGCTGAAGCTGAACCCAGGCAACATGAGAGTGATGGTCGGGGAAAGCTAAGAAAGCAAAAAGGCCTCGAGTAAACTGTCATCTCCTTTTGGCTAAAGTAGCAGTTAATTGATCAACGTGATTCATATTTGGAGATGCTCTGGAATTCTTTTTAGTTTTAACTTCTCCCACGGAAAGCAAAACTTGCTGTCTTCTGTTGGCCTGAAGACTCCCACAAGCAAGTGAAAAAAAAAGTGAGTCAGTGAGATCACCGTAAGTGTTCAGCTGGAGAACAACAGTGTGCAAGAGTGCAAGCAACATCCTAACCAAAGGAAAGCTTGGGAGGAGAATGCTTTATTGGTGCAGACTGATACAGTGTATTTCCTCAGGGCTGAAAATGAAAGGACTCTAGAGAATATGTGCAGGCTTATGCCAGGATCTTTTAAGCAGTCAGGGTTTGGGTTGTTACTCTGAGAGTCATTATAATCAAAACCTAATTTATCTAGAGTCTGCTCAGCACTTTACTGTTGGGACAGTGGTCCACAGATGTGTTGCTTTACACATAGGATTTCTCCAAGAGCATTTCTTCTAGAGCATTGTATGTTGTTTTGATGGATATTCTCTCTCTGTCTATCTTGACAAGGGGGATATAAGGGGATAACTGTAATGCATATTGCAGTACCATGCAAAAAATGACTACTTAAGATATTTCCAAATAAAGTCACGTAGATATAAAAGCCTTTTTATAGATTTACTGTATGCTTTTTACTATTCTGTGGCAGCACTGATGTGGTAGTGAAGAATGTCATAAGATCCATATTTTCCCGTTCAAGTACAAGGTTTCAGTTTGACTTCAAAATAAGTATCTATTTGAAAATAACCCAGACAGTGTGCTGTATAGTATCTTCTTCAAAAAAGGTGATATGAAAAACTACATGAGAGATAATCAGGGATTTTCCTTTAATGGACTACTGGAAGACACTGAAATGTGTCTGTTATGAGTATCAGTACATATTTGATTTGTGGGTTCAATGCTGTTACTTTGAACCTTTAATCTTTGCTTTTATAATTGCCTAGTAAGAGAGTGCTTACAGTGCTTTTACAATCTCTATTCTCAGGGCCAAGGTCTCACGGTGTGGCACACAGGCACACTTTGTTTCTGTAAGGTTGTCAAGACTTTGCCCTGCTGTTAAATGTTCTGTGATTATTAATTGCTTTGAAACTTTGCAGGCAGACAGCCATTTCATCTCTGCTTCAAATAATGAAAATGTGAACTGTTTCAATTTTTGCCTACAGGAAACGGTACCCACTGAATGTTATAGTCAGCGTATTTACCATCATTCTTGGGGCTTTCATAGCCGCTGGGTAAGGTTTTAATTTCTCATACAAAGCCATATTATGAGGGGAGGGACAGCAGGAGGACTTTTTCCTTGTTTGGTTCTAAGTAAACCTAAGTTGAGATCAGTTACTCTGGAGAAAGCTGATTTGGAAAATCTCTCTAGTGACATCACCGGAAGGTACAGTTATATAAAGGAAAAAATCTAATTCCTGCTGAAGGTCTTTGGGTGTGTCTTTTTCCACTTCTAGGTTTTCCATGTTGGTAGGATCATAAGTGAAGCAAGTTAAAACTATGTGAGGAATGTTGATTTCATTTCATGGTATCAGTGTATTTTAATAATCTTGGGGAAGTATGTTCTTGTTCTGGATAGAAAGACTGATATTTTGGTTGTCAAATATGGAGTTAAGCATTGTGTATTTTTTTAATCATAAAAATACCACTTTTTTTAAAATAAGTTCCATTGTGAGATGATGTTCACAAAGCACCCATATGCTGTTGTCCTCTGTTTTCTGTTTGAACGTTCCTTTACCTAACAGGAAAGATAATGTTTTGATTGTTTGTTTCCTGGCTTTTCTACGAACAAGGGTAAATAATTTCCATGTGATGTAACCCAGATAGAGCCATGTCCTATCAAATTAATTACCCTGTATTGATGAGGCAGCTAGTCAAAACAGAAGAATATGTCTGCTCTGACTGTAAAAAACAGTCAAATTTTATTCCTAGCCACTTTTTGTAGTAAAAGAAATAGGTAAGTATATTCAGTTATAATTGGACTAGTTGTCAGGGTTGAGATGGGTGGAATTTTTCTCTGAATGAAAACTGAACATTTCCTGCCACTGTGGCACTGATTATTAGGCACTCTCTGATGTCTCATTTGTGATGGTCCTGTGACTGGAGAAATGAAAGTACTTTAACTTATGAAGAAGGCTTGAAGTAAAACCTGTGACTGGCTGGAGTTCATGGGATTTGCATATCCTCATTCACAATATTCATCTTGGTAAGCAAGGTAATAAAATGCATTGCATATTTTTTTGCTTATTTACAATATAGTATTTCTTTCTTTCCCAGATCTGATCTGTCTTTCAATCTGGAAGGCTACATCTTTGTGTTGCTAAATGATATTTTCACAGCAGCAAATGGAGTTTATACAAAGCAGAAGATTGATCCAAAGGTAACTGTGGAGTGTTTAGTTTGAATTTAGCATATATTGTATAATATTTTATATATATTATATATATATATAATGTGTATATAAAATAATATATATATTATATAGAATATTGTAACAATACGTTAATAGTGGGCAACTGTCCTGGTCTAGGGCAAATTTAGGGAGGAAACCTCCATAGAGGTCCCTCTAGAAAGCAAATTCAAGTGGCCCTTCTGCCTATCTGTTCAGGAGATAAACTTCCTTTGAGAAAAGTGGAAAAAACTGTTTATTGAATGAGCAAAGTACTCCCAAACATGGAAAAAAAAAAGAATAATATTAAACAATGCGATCTCTCATTGTTCTGAAGAGCTGATAAATTCAGAGAGAGAGTCCTTTTGTGGACTGTAGCTGGGCTCGCTCAGTCTCTTATCAGTCACTCCTGTGCAGGGAAATTCTGTGTCCCAGGCCCCAGTGGGCGACAGGTGCGAGCTCCCGGTGCTCTTCCGAGTTTTCAGTCCAGAGCAGGGCTGATCAGTTCCAAGAAAAAGAAAAGTCACAGTCTAGGGAGCTTCTCTGCCTCAGCTAGCTAAAAATAACTAACTAAAAGCAAAGGAGAGCTCTCTCCTGCTGTCCGTGCTGCAGGCAGCACGCACCAGGAGAGACAGAGAGAGACATCTGAAGCTCTCTATTGCTATGTTTTTGAATACAACCACCTCAGACATTCCACCTCTTCTCCTTTTCCTTCCCTTCACTCTTGGACCTAGTTTTAAAGGCACAAAACTTATTTCTGGGCTAAAAAGATGAATGGGGATACAATTCAGCATCATAAAGCCACCCCAGGACAGCTACTTATTATATGACTTTTATGTACTTACCATTATGAACTCATAAATAATTTCATTCACTTTCACGTTTCAGTTGATACATGCATTATTAATACAAAACAACCTGGAAAAGATGTTATTTGTATCTCTGGCCAGGCTTTGGTAAACAGTCTATTTTCTTTTCTCCCAAGTCTTTTAGGCAAAGTTTGTAGTTACTGGAAAAAAAAATTGCAAACCATAAGGAAACAGTTTACCTCTAAATTTGATACATATCTATGTGGGCATGATAACCTTTTGACTAGAAACACACTTTATGTGAGGTTCATGTAAAATAAACAGAGAACTGTCCAGCCTGAGTCATAACCACTGTAACTGTAGTCTTTTTTGGTTATCTAAAAGCAAGTCTGCAGCGAAGGCAGGTGTAACAAGGAATTAGGTAATATCTTGATACATATTACTTCTGTAAATATTGGGCAGGCTGCTCTTCAAATGCAGTGCCATGAAACATACCAAGCTATAGCAAAGAGGATAGAGGTTTGGTTTCTGACTTCTGTGGTTCAATCTGTACAGCAGAAATATATGTTTTTTTAATAATCTTAGACGTCTTAGTCGATTCCAGACTGCTTTTTATTTGTGAACAGCAAATAACAGCCTCACAATTTTCTGCAAAATACAGGAGAAGAGATAGGCTGGAGAGATTTTCTAAGCAACATGGCTGAATCTGGAGGAAGGGAAGGCTATTTTTTCATTCTCTTAATCTTCTGTCTTTGTGTCAAGCAAGTTAACCCTCAAGTTACATAAAGTTACAGTAATTACCAGTGATTACAGAGCTCTATCTGTGAGTCAAACTTCATTCATTTTCCTGTTATACATTTTTATGGTTGATTTGCAGTAGGACTGGGTAATTCCTTGCCCGGCAGAGACTTAAGTGAAGTCAACACAAAGCACTTCTGGGACCAGTGCTTTTGTGCTGGTGTTGTATAGAAAGTGTCCAAGGTGTAACAGAGCAGTAATACTCTAATGAGTGCACAGACAAAGTGACTGAAGTGGAAATTCAGCTTAGTACAAAACACTTAATCTGAGGATTGCAAGTTTGTATTTTAAATTGAGATGTATTCTATTTTGTTTACTCACTGACAATAATATCAGAAGAATTACCAGATTAATATGTAGTATTTTGCTCCCAAATGGCTTTTAATGCCAAATAGTATGTTTCATTTTTCACAGGAGTTGGGAAAATACGGTGTCCTGTTTTATAATGCTTGTTTCATGGTGATTCCAACAGCCGTTATTAGCTTTTCTACTGGAGACTTTCAGCAGGTAAGTAGCAATATTGCATATCTCAGACTGATAATGATATTTTGTTCAGATTTCATTTGGGAAGCGGGAGGGGCTTTTTGTTTGTTTCTGAAGAGGTGATCCTACCTCTATCTTAGTGATTAGTGTTTGAAAAGTGTGAGTTGGACTTGTCCTTCACAGGTAAGAACTTGTGATTATTCACTTAAGGAGAATTTGTGCGATAGTCCTTATTTGAGTCTTTGTCTATGAACTAACATATGTTTGGAGACTCCCAGCTGGAACAAATGGTTGAGAATCCAGCTGCACTGTGTGGTTTGCCGCATGCTCTAAAACAAGATTGCAACTATACAGACAATTTCCAGTCCTTTTCTCATTCTGATGTTCAGGGCAGATTTCTGTTAATCTTAGTCTAGTCAGGTAACCTACATTTTCCATTCTCGTAGAATGAGAGCATGACTTTCCCCAGGTAATCATAATACAGTATCTGTAGGCAGTATGTCCTGATATATAAAGTATCAGACCAGAAGGTTTTCCTGGCTCCCTCACAGACTTGCTGAGTTGCCTTTTTCGTAATGGTAAAATGAGCCCAGTCACTGATAGTCCTTTCTGGAAATGTTTTACATTTGCCATGGAAAATTCTTTGGACGGTGTAATAAATTGTTGCAATGTTCTTTGTTGTATGTTGTTGTGCCCTGAACTCACATGATTTTGTCATTGTGCTCTTAGAATTCTGCTTTAAGCAGAAAAATTATGATTCCCTGAAAATGCTGGAATTACGTCTGCTGTGAATGTGAAATTTCTTTATGTCATCAGTCCAGCATGACCTTGTGCCAGTTTAGGAAAATGCAGCTGCTGCCTATCTTGGAAAAGGAGCCTAAGTTTGTATAGCTGTAAGATTTCAACTGCTTTTCCAGCACACAGGGTTGGAGACATTTTGGGAGACCTGGTCAGAGTTTATTTTGTTGGGTTTACTTGTTACCTTGTTGGGTTTACCTTCTTGGGTTTACTTACTTTCCCCTGAAGAAAACCTTGCTAAGTTTATTTCAGGGAAAAATAAGGAGTGTATTGTATTTCCAGGGGGAAATAAGGAGTGTGTGTAAGGAGTGTTGCTGATTTGCTGTAAACAACTTCAGGCTCAATTACCTGAAGAAAATAATTTTCTATTAAAGAAATACATTGTGCTTGCTGTGCATCACATTGATTTGGTCACTTACTAATAGAAGTCCTGTTAAATGATGCAGATAACTAGTGTCAGTGTGACACACAGAAACCAAATCATGGAGAAAACAGAGAAACTGGAAAAATACCGGTGACAAGTCAGCAAATTATTGCAGATAACCCTTGTTAGGAGATTTTCAGACCAGTTTTTGCTGTGACAGAGCTTCTTACCTTGACCAATCACAGCATATGTCTTTTGCTGTGAAGTCAAAACATCAGTACCACATCTGTGTGATAGGGACATGCTTCTACTCCCCTAGAAATTTCTGTAATCTTTTAGAGATTGCAGTTTGTGAGTGAATGTCTGAGTTACTAATTTCTCCTTCACCAGCTGGCTCACTGTGAGAACAGGAAAGCATGATGCAGTGTAAGAGGAAAGAACCCCCAGAATGGCTCTGTGTTATACTCTGCATCTTGCTGTTGCACACCAGCACAATTCTAGCCAGGCAGAGCTGCTCAAGATCCTTTTTACCTATTACTTCACATGGTGGAGGCTCAGCTGGCTGCAGCTGAGGTTGTACTAATGGCCTTTTTTCTGTTTCTCAGGATGTGTGCAGCCTTAGCTGAATTTGGTGCTTATGCACCAAGTGTAAACTAACCAGATTAAAATGAGGCATATCCAGGAGTTACTAGAGATGGAAAATAATCTGTGACATGTTTCTTAGTGACTGTGTGGCACTGTGTGTTTGTTTGCTGCACTTCACTAGGGAGGATACTTCAAAGTGATTGAGCCTTTCCATTGATCTTCATTGTTGAAAGATCTTAGTAATGCTCAGAAGGACTGCCTTAGGCCTTGAGAGCTGCTAACAAATCAATCTGTGGTGTGGAAGAGATTTAGAGGAAATTATTTATGTATTTGCTGTTTCCCTCTGTCTCACATCAACACTATTTATTATGTGTTATTATTCACAGTGTTAGTATCTGTCAGTAAACAACAAAACACAGTTTTCTGTATTGCGTTTATGTGCACTTGTGTATCTGCACTGCTCTGCGTGTTACAAGTACATGTCTAGATGTCATGGGTGCAGTCATCCTGTTGTCTCTCAAGTTGGATGCATTAAACTGTTTCCAGAAGTAATATAAATGGTTCGTAATTTTGGTATGAATTAAACGTGTTTTGTGAATTTACGTATTTTCACATTAAGTATATTTTATATGTGTTTACAGTTGATTATATAGCATATAATTCTCTCTCTCTCTTTTTTTAATAGGCAATACATTTCCAGCAATGGACAAATTTTTTATTTGTGTTTCAATTTATTCTTTCCTGCGTGTTGGGGTAAGGACACAGGGGAACCAACAAGTTGTTTCCATGACGGTGTTTCAAATTGCAGATCTCAAATATAGGGCTCAGATATAAGTTATGTTAAAGATCAGAGAAAATGGGGTTTCCCTCAAGGTTATGTCTTTTAATTATTTCTAATGGTATAAATAACTGTTTAGTGCTATCTCGATTTTTGACCTCACAGTACAGTGCTTTACAACATGACATTTAGCTTTGTGGTTTTTTTGTGTCTCTTCTGATCATCTAACTTTTTTGCAGTTAATGGCACGTAAGTCCTTGAGTATAGGAACTGTTTCAGTGTGTTTGTTCTTTAAAGCAGCTGGAAAAGTGTGGGAGACTTAAAAGTAGTGAAACAATGCTTTGATACTGTTGAAACTACAGAGTCGAAGAATGAGTTGTATCCTGTTCTTTTCTTCCACGTTGTAACCAAGGGGTCAACAGCTCAGAGAAAAGGGATTACTCTGATAGAGCTCAAGTAGCATATTTTAACATATATTTTGACTATTCTGAATGTGTATGTCATTTTGTTAAAATAGAGATTGACAGAAATTCTTTTATAAGGTTTTGAAACAGGTGGGATTATAGATCCCAGAAAAATACTGATCCAGAAAATGTTGAACATCTTGAAATAATGCTAAACTTCTTAGGTCTGTTAGAGGAATTCATAAAATTTTCTTCTTTGTTTAGGTTTCTCTTGATGTATTCTACTGTCCTGTGCAGTCACTACAATTCTGCGCTCACAACAACAGTAGTTGGTGCCATCAAGGTGAGTTATGGACCCGAAGAGGGAAATATAAATGCTCAAATAGATAGAGCATTGGCTCAGCAGTGATCTTGATTCTACTTTGAGATGGAAACTCAAAATGAGGGCTAATACTGAGACACCGCTTGTGCCAAACAAGGTCACACCACAAAGTGATCCTGTTCTCTTGCATTGAAAGTCAGGTATGCTCCAGAAAACATTGTTAGTATTGATCTATTTTTATTTCTCCTACAAGAGAAACTGGAACAATTTTAATTAAAAGATGAACATTTAGCCACATTTCATCAGGCACTCTCCCACGCCTCTGTTGTTTATTAGGTTATTGTGTGTTAGTCAAAATACCCTTATGCAAATCCAGGTGAACTGGTAGTGACTAACCCGCTTTTACTTTGTGCTAAACTAATTTCCTTTGCAGCTGATACATAGATATGGGCTTCCATAGATAAAGAATAATGACTAAGCTGAAGTATGGAGTGTGCTTTATGGTTAAGTGCCTCAGCCTCTGTGTGAGAACTTGTGTTCTAGCTGAACGGACAATTTAATTTTGGTTTGTACAAATTCTGGTTAATTTGATCCACACCAAAACATGCACGTCTTAAAAACTGAACCGGGTGTCCTTACAGGCTGTTTTCTTTAACCCGGCTTAATTTAAAAACATGCATCAAGCTTTGTATCGATGAGGACAGCATGTCTAGGACATCCCTGACTGCCCATGCTCTTTTTTGTCAGCCAGTTTGGAGAGAAGCACAGAACTGCAAAGCTGAAAGAGCTTTGGTAAAGACAAAACCTGCGCTGCTCTGGGCAAAACATTTTCAGAATTCTATCTAGCTTAGGCACAGGAATAAGAGTACTGAAAGTGCTCCCTTCCATGACTAAGGAAAATAACACATTCACCGTAACAAAATCTGCAAAAGAAGGGTGGTACTTCTCTTTCTACATTATTTTTCTTTTTGAAAGCTGCAAGATTAATCTAGTAGTTTTCATTCTGTGGCCCTGAAAGTGTTCTTTTAAATTTTATATGTCTGCATCAAACCATTAAGTCAGGGCAAGATTATTTCTATTTGCTAAGCTGTAATAGTCTTTAACACACTTTGAGCAGCTTTGAAGTTGAGAAGCAGGTTGTGATGCAGCACTCTCCATTAGAGACTGGTAGAGACAGATGTCATTGTCCAGACTAGCTGCTGAAACAATTGAAAGCAACAAAGTATTGACGAAATGAGCACACACCTCTACATCTTTCCTTCTGTCTTCAGGGGACTATTTTTCCAAAACTTGATGCAGATGGATACGGGGTAGAATCTTTAACTTTAAACTGTGCCTGTCATGAACCTGTACCAAGTGATTTCAGTCTATCTTTAGTTGGAAAAGTAAGCAGATAACCCTCTTAAGGTAATAATAAAGAACTTTTACTGTAACTTTAAGGCATCCTTTTTATGCTGGAGAACCCAAAACTCACTTTTAAGGAATGGTATTTGAATTCCAAAGATGATAAACAAATAAATTTCAAAAAGTGGCCTTAACTCCATTTCATCTAATATCAAATAGCCCTTTTTTTCCCCCTAGGAGGTCACTGTGCATTGTATACATTTAGAAAACATACTGATTTTATTTTTATTTTTATTGCTTCATTATCTATAAGACTGACAAGCCATGAAATCAATTTAAAGGCTGATTTTAGAGTGGTCAGCAACACAGTATAGCTATTTCTTTAGAAAAGTGAATTAGTTGATAATGCTTATGTTCATGGAGATGAAATCACACTTAAATAATGCATGACTTTTTTCCTTTTCAGAATATATCCATTGCTTACATCGGAATGTTGATTGGTGGAGATTACATATTCTCCATGTTAAACTTTATAGGGCTAAATATTTGGTAAGTGAAACTTGAATAGCCTTTTTTTATTAAAGCTGAAAATTTCTCAATGAGTTCTAGTTTTAGGTTTTGTTTGATTTGACTCATTTGGGTGATGCAGTTTTGAAACTACTGGCCTGAAGAAGTACTGCCTCAGGATGTTCATTACAGTTAGTTATGTCTTTTCATGTTTGTTTTCAGATATTAAATCTTACTGTGGTAAGGCCTAATTGTGGATATATGCCTGCAGTTTTACTGTGTGGAATTGAACTGGTTCGTTTTTCTTTTGCTTATGAGCAGCAGTTCTGAGCTGCAAGGCTTCCAAGTAAAAGCCAGGTGTAGTGTTGGAAGTGAAAACACTGACTGAATGAGTTGTACCCATTGAATAAAAGCTCTAACTTGTGAGTTGTTAATTTCTGTGCTTAGATGATTGTCTGTGTGTATGAATCTGTGTGAACAGCTGGTAGTTGATCTTTGTCTGCTGAATGCTCTGCATGCTCAGATGGATTAAGTAGCTCTGAGGCACTCCTAGTTTATGATAGCTAGTGTTCTTTAGCCCTCCAGAAGGAGAGGTACATACCTATGAAATGAGACCTGTAATATCAGACATCTCTGACACCACTGTTCATTCTCTTTTCTTTAGTATGGCAGGAGGACTGAGATACTCATTTTTAACATTAAGAGGAAACAGCAATCCTGCACAACCTGGGGATGAAGAAAAAGCACTTCCAGTGTCAAAGGGTTAGGCAAAATGCCTGCCTACAAAGAGACTGAAGACACAAGTTTGTTTAGCATTGCCAAGACCTTAAATAAGTATATGCTGGAACATATTTGGGACAACAAAAAAAAAATCTACCTCAGTTGTCACAGACATGCACACAATTCACTGACTCAGATATATTCTTGCACACCATGTTTTTTACATATAAACGGGTTTGCTTTTAGCTTTTTTTAATCTGCAAGTCATTTTATAGGAAGGAATGCTGTGAGAAAATCTCAAGTTGTAAATTTCTGCATTTACCTGTACTTGGGTGCTATTTCAACAAGATCTTTGAGTTCTGTTTCAGTGGCTGCCTGTAGTTTCTTGAGGCAAAACTCACTGTAAAGATCACGGGGCTTCATTCACCACTGCCTTATGCCATATGCAGTCCTTGGTATCAGTGAGGAGATGAAAGATCCTAGTGGTTCAGACTGATTTCATGCATGTATTTGCTCTTGGGTAAGTTATACAGAGCATATGGGGCAAAGGGGATATTTGCTCCCACATTGTTCCCTGTGTACGTGTCAACTAAAATATTCAGGCTGTGTCCGTGTATGTGTATTGTGTAGGCATTCTCTCTCTGTGTTTTTGTCATCCTCAGTCACACCACAGTGTTCTGCAGCATTTGTCACTGTTGTTATAAATGAGCCCTCATAACTTTACAGCACAGCAAGGACAGTAGGGAAATTACAGGGGATTTTTTAATATTTAAATATTTTTGTGTATGTGTGTGTCTGTGAGTCACTACCAGCACATCTATTTTTGTTAAGGTACACTTTCCTTTTTATATCACAGTCCCCTCCTCTCACATTTTGTCTGTAACCACCTCTCTGCAGAGAAGTGGTGCTACTATGTGCAAACATGGTAAGAAAGGGAAACATAGATATGTGGTGGACTGACTTGTGTTTAAATAAGGGGAAATGGCTAATGTCCTATTGTGTCTTATATATACAGTAAAAGCTTATCTGGTACTAGTTTATGTTTTCAGTTCTAAGCAAGGAATCATAATGAGCCTGGGGATTATTACAGTAGGCTCAGCTGCTACAGTGGTTAAGAGGCCCAGACTGATGGACTGAGTTATCGTCTGGGACAATATCTATATTTCAATAACACCTGCATCTATATTTCATTCCTTGAAAATACTTGACAATGCTTACCTGTTTCTCTGAGGATAAAAGGTTAACCTTTGAAAACATGATAGGAGCTTTGAAGTGTTGGAAGACAGCAGAGAAATTAATCTTGTTGAAGTTCTCAATTCCCTGCAAGCATGAGCCAAGATTTTTATAAATAATCAAATCAAAAGAAAATTTTGAAAGACTTTTGACATGGAACCAGGGTGGTCTAATGATTTGTTTGATCCTCACTTAAATAAAAGTACAGCTGATAAAATCTGAAAAGCATTACTCTGTGTGTAGCACATCAATGACCAGTCTGAATTAGATCTAAGAAGCATGTGGGTAATTCACACCAGAAGCTTCAGGGAGTGACTGCCTGCATGGATTTGAATGGCAAGAGGAGCAGTGGCTGCAGATACTAGAAGTGACATTTAAAGGCACTGTCAAACTGAGAAGAGAAATCTGAGCTATGCATTTTCTCACATCTGCCTAAGAGTGTGATTTTTATTTTCTGTCTGAAGACCTGTGGAGGGAAAGTGTTGCAGCAAATATTTCTCGGCGATCTTCTGTTTTTAAATATTTCCTTTAGTGCTTAAAAACCTACAATATTTTTGAGTGTATTCTTTTATAAGGCTCCTCTTTCTTCAGATCATTTCTACCTCCACAATTCCAGTTATTGAGCCTTAACTCTGCCATGCAACAACGTATTGGAAGGTTTTCATTAATTATGAAATTAGTATGAGTGCCATTTGATTGCAGTACTGGTGAACACACAAAGGCACCTGCTAAATAAGGTGTAGTTCTCTTAAAGGAACACCTAACATATGCATATAATTCATTAATATTTTGCTGTACCTTTTATAAATAAAAATATACAGATTACTGTTTTAACAGGTGTTTTGTTTGGGTTGTTTTTGGGGGGTTTGTATACATATAATTGTCTCAAGCACACGAATAACACAGATATTTGCTTTTTATATGATCAACTGCTATAGTGTACTTAAAGTAGTTTCTTTAGTTCATTCTATACCACAGTGGAAGTGATTTTATTTAATTTCTTGTTTATAGTATAGTGCTTCAGACTTAGATTTTTCTCCTGAAATACAAACCTGATAATCATAGTCTTTATGACAGTGTTAATCAGAATAATTTAAAAAATAAATCTAGGAATAACAAGAAATAGGTATTATCTAGAACTACTTGCAACTGCTAGTGTATTTTGACAAGGAAGCTCAGCTTCAGTCACTTACTGTTTTCCTCTGTATCTCAGATAGTGTTGATTCCAGTAAAATTGCTGATTAAAATTCTGGAAATATGGTCTCAACCAGGCACAACTATCATGTTAGAATTTAGGAAATTGCATGGCTGTTTCATTCAGAACGTCAATAATTGTGTCTTTCAGTTAATAAGATAGGAACTTAAAACTGATTCTTTTAGGATACAGCTGCTTACTTTTCTACAGATTTCATATTAATAAACTTAAGGTTTTAAATATGACATTAATACCATTACAGGTGTCAGGGTATATTTACAACGAAACATGTAAAGAAAAATAATTACTGGACCAGAAAACAATATTGTCATGTGCATTGACCTGTTCATGCTCTAAATTTTGTTGGGATTTTTTTAGCAGTGACTTGGCTGTAGTGAAGTGAGATTAAGTGAGAAAATGTAGTCACCCAGGGAACTTTCTACCCATTCACTGTGTAAAGTTCTTGCAGTGATTCCTGTGGAAGTCGGAGAGGCAAAAAAACCTACCTCAGAAAAAAAAAACTTAGACTGGGCTCAATGAAGAGTTCTTCACATTCTTAAGAATTTATTCATTTTCTTCTCATTATCTTGGCCTAATTTATTCATATTGGGCCCATGAAGCTCTGTAGACCTATCTGAGACTCACGACCAGCCACAGAAAAAGAAAAGGGAAACAGAACATGGAAGTCCAGAAGAGAAGAATGACAGCTGTGGAAGATTGTGTTTTGATTCCATTCATCAAATAGAAGAGATTCTTTTCAATTTGGGGGCGTTAATTTAAAACAGGTATTCACCATTATTTTTATATGTAGGAAACAGTGAAACCTCTTCAAGTTTAAAGTATTCCTTGAATTGTGAGTGATTCTTTGGGTTATTCACAATTGATTGTAAATACTTTTGTAAATGTAATATTCAAACCTTATTTATTTGACTGGACTTACTTGTAAGGTATTTTCTCTGAGAGGAAAATTAAGACAGATTTAGTGTGAGGAAATTGGGTTGTTGTTAAGCTAAGATAGTAATGATTTTTTATCTTCTTCCTACATATAAGGTAGTGTTATCTTCCTTGTGGAAGATGTTGTCTTTACTTGTAAAGCATCTGCACAATAGTGAATTTCTGTCTGAAGGTGTCAGTAATGTAAGATGATAAATCTTCTTTTCTGGTGTCAGTATGAATTTGTCCCAGAAATGTCTGGGCTACAATTTAACTCTTCACTGTAAGTAGTAGTGTTGAACTCTGTTCAGAGTATTCTTTTTCAAAAGTTTGGTTTAGACCCATCCCAGGTCCCTATGAATGTAAATAATGACAATAAAATCCGTTTTTTGGTTTTGTGTAGTTTCCAGAAAAGGAGTGAAAACTTTCAATTGAAGCCAACATCAGAAATCATTGTTTAGTTTGGATTTTCTCAATAGTTTACAAATGTGGGTGTAATGTAGTGATGTTATTCTAATCTAAATCCTGGATATTTCCTGGAAAAATGAAATCATGTGACTTGATTAATCCTCTCGCTTCTCTGCCAAGGCTCAGGGACTAACAGTGTGCTGGAAAGAGGCATTTTCCATGCAGAGTGTCTGATTCATACAAGCTCACTACTTTTGCTCGCCATGGAAGTGTTCCAGCATCAGCTACTCAGTCTTGTTGGGAGTCTGATCTGTTTCTGTACTCTGGTAAAATGCATCAAATATATGCAAGACCTTTTCCCATATATCTGGAATTCTTTACCTTAGGCTTTCTTTTGTTCAATGAGAGAATGGGCAGGTAAAGGAAACTGCTTCAGCTTCTACTTGTAATTGAGTATTGGATTGCTACTTTACTAATCAAGAATAGTTTTCCTTGCATTTCTTTACCCTGTTTCTTCAAATGAAATACAGTTTCTGATATGTATGGCTTTCTTGGTTCCTTTTTCTTTTCTCCTAAAGCTTTGGGTTTATGAGCCTGTAGGTTTTGTGTACTTGGGGAGAATAGAAAACTAGTCAAACTGATAACAGCTCACACCCTGGTGTGTAAATGTGAATTCTCTTCCTTATTGCTACTTCTGATGTTTTCTTTCTGCTGCAGATGCTTTTATTTTAATAGCATTGCCCAGATCCTCAATTTCCTGGTATGTAAAGCTGTTAGTTTATGTCTAACATATGTTCTCCTGTTTTCAAAGCAACTTTCCTTGTTCCTGTTGATGTTGCTCTAGTGCGTTCCTTTTCGAAATTGCTGACCTATCCTTAATGATACCATTAATGAACTAAATTTACTTTAGTCTAAAATCTTCAAAGGCTGCAAGTTGGCAGGTTTTTTTAAGATAGTATGCATTTTTGTAAAATAACGCAAAGTTTAACAAGAACCTTTTTCTTCCTATTGATGATTGATGTTTTTCTTAAGCTTGTTAGAGGATCATGAATAAAGCAGGAATGAACAGGTGCTGTGTTCCTGAGTTCCTTGGCTGTCAATGTTGCTGATGGCAGCTTGTTGTTAAGAAATTACCTGAACAGTAGACTTGTGCTTGATTCCTTTTTCCTGCATTAGATTTGATGGGACTAAATATATAAAACTATTAAATATATAAAATACATCTATTAAATATATCATTAACGATTAAATATGTGTTTAATAACCGCATCTCATAGTGGATTAAGAAATTAAATCCATTTCTGTGTAGAGGACCTGCCTGAATAGCAGATACTTCTAAGGCAGTGCATAGGCCTCATTTTGATTTAAGTGAGGACTTCATTTTCTGTGTATGAGATGAGGAACAGCATGTGGAACTTTCTGTGTAAAATCTTTCTTTCCACATAAGGTTGGAATACTTGTTTCCTTCAATGGACCTCTATACTCTGTTTTTATAAACAAAGTCTTCTGGCCCCAGTAAAAGTCATAAGGCTCAGATAATTTGCAGTGTCATGTGGCACATGAAATTCTGAAAATCATTAAAATTAAAGTTGGCATGTGGAAGTTTGTTTCTCAACAGACTCTTCGCTCTTCATCTACAGGTCTATTAGGAAACAAAATATCCAGCGCTTCTTCACTGGATCTCATTTCCCTCTGAAATGAGAGAGTAATTGCTCTTCTGTTGGCAACACCTAACCATTCAAAAATACCTTGCTTTCTGTGTCTCTGGCAGCACAGAAGCCCTTAATCCACATTTTTGTATATTGACTAATTTTTCATTTGCTGTAAAACTTATCAGGTTTACCTTGGAACTGCTTTGGTGCTTTGCTACTTTATTTCTTCTGTATTTCTAAGATGTTAAGGATTTTTCTTTCTATAGTTCCTCTTTAGTATTTATACACATAGTGTTTAAAGTTCAGTGTACTTTACAAACGCCAGCACTTGTTTATTTTCACAGTAAGATTAAATCCAAAAGTAAACAGTAAAACAGTAAAAAAAGTAAACAGTAGTGCAGCTCTGAAGGAGGAGCATTTTATAGGTAGTGGCAAGTTTGATGTGATCTTTCCTTACAGACAGAAATCTTGTGTGAGAAATTGTATCAATTTCAATTACCAGTTAGTCTTTATCTCCTACCATTCTGCCACCAGCATATAAATTCAAAGCTTGGAAAACAGGACTTGTGAAAATACATATATGGAAGAAAATTCTGCCAAGCTCTTTGGCAGTTGACTTGTTGCTCCTTGACATTGCTGAAAATGGGAGTAATAACTACCTCCTGTACCACATGGGCTACCCTGAGGAGAGATCTGCTTTGAAGACAGCAAGTGCTGAATGAACTAAGAGATCCATAGGTCACAAGGAAAAAAATGTAAAAGATTGATTCTATTCTTCAGTGGAGAAATTTAGGTTGTATTGTTCAAGAAAAGCCGATGATGAAGATTAAACAATTCAGAGAGAAGAAGCTAAACCAAATGTAGAGCTCCAAATGTAATCTGTATCATTTTTTGCTTTCTCCAGTGATCACAGGAGCAGGAGATGAGATTGGAAAAGCATATTCCTCCAGGTAAAATAGATTACCTACACTTCATTTTATCTTAACAAAATGACAATTGCAATCCCTCCATCAGTGTCTTCAAATTAGTAAAATTATTCTAGAATTCAAAGCTGCTGTCACAAAAAAGTCCTAATCTTTCTCTCCTGTATAACCAGAATAGCATTAATCAGATTCTGAAAGGAAACCAGTGCTGCATTTCAGAGAAAGTCATCCAGGCTTCAGTGGTCTTATCAAACTGGGGAGCTAAAGTGATTCAAAAGAAGGCCTATTGTCTGTCCAGAGAAAGAAGTCTCCTAAATTGTCCCTTTTCTTCCTGTTTCACAGCTAATCTGCAATGGGCTGGTCCAGTATTAACCCACAAAATTTCATTTTCTAGCTGTTACACTTGCTGACACATTTTGAAAGTTCTGTCCAATAAGGGATAAGGTTGTACAAATTAATATAAACTACAAGTTATGGAAAGTATAAGGTGTCCTAATGGTTTAATTCAGAATCAGGAGCTCTGGGAGGCTGCAGGAGGAAGAGGATCTCTGTGTTGTCCCTGTAGCCACTGCTGTGCAGAGTCCCTACAGCAGTACCTTTCTATTCACCCATGGTAGTCAGCACTGAGGACAGGATGGCCTTGTAGTGTTGTACCAGCCTTGCTATTACTGATTGTGACTGAACAGTACATTTTCTCCTAAACTGGCTCCATTTGTAGAAGCTAAACAGCAATGAATCATAAGTTCCTGTCTTCAGGGCTGAGGTGAGCCGGGTGACAAAGGACATCCTGCAACATGCAAGAATTTAGATATGATGCCTTCTGCTCACAGATTGTAAAATGTATTTCACAGGAAGAGAAAAAAAAATTTTATTGATTTACAGGATTTTTGTACTAGTCTTTTCCTTATGCATTGTTTAAACACCTACATACATTATGGCTTCCATTACTGGGAGTGGCAATAGTCACTACTTTTGAAACAACATTGACTGTAGGAAGCTCAAGGACCAATACCGGGTATTAGAGTTTAACATTTGTTGTAGTTGTGAAAAAAATCCCATGGGAGAAAATGGAAAATGCTTCCTCCTGGCTACTCACTGAGTTGCAGAATTAATAAGTAAATGGGAAGAGTCTGATGAATACATAGGTCAGGGTGAATGAGATAGGATAAAGACAAGGAGAGTAGGCATCAAAAATGCCTAAACATCATTATCATGTCTCTGGGTGAAGTCTTCTGTTTATGCAGCTTGCTGAACTAATTTTCTGTGTGAGCACCTGGTGATATTTTATCCATGCTGCAGAACGTGTGAATGTCTAGATTGGAGCCTCTGTCATTGTTCTGCTTCGTTTGTGTTGCATGGGTTATGCAAGAGTAAATCTCATTAAATGGCCAGCCGTGGAGGGACCAGAAACCATTTCTGAAGCAGAGACCCTCTCTAAGTCCCTGGAAAGGGCCCCATGGAAGACGATACCTTAAAGATAAGAAATTGTTTGCTTAGAGTGACTAATACCAAGAAGCATCTCGCCCCCCTTGTAGACCCCTGTGTTATCTTTCTGTAATATTAGTGGTTCACTTTCCTCTTAGATAATTGGTCCCTTTTCCCCTGAAGTCTTTTGTAGATTGGTTAGTTATAGAATTCCTTTGTTTATTGGTGCAAAATTTAAAACCCTTAAACCCTATAAAGGACCCCTTAGAGACCCCACCCAGTTGGATTTGCTAGACTGGACCTCCTTCATAGAAGAAATAAACTCTATGGAACCATCCAGTCTGCATTTCTCCATCTCTTCCTCTGTTGGCTCAAAAGGCACGTTGTGAGCCTGAATCCTATCCAGGCAAGGCTTGCAAAATTGCCTTGTTGCCAAGAACTGTCTGGGCAGTTTCAGGGTCTCATGGAGGCTCCCTTCACCAGCAACAGGCAGCTATAACATATGAATGGCTGCATTATGCCATAAGAAAGAGTAAACTCGCTACTGCCCTTTTTTCTTTTAAACTTGGCTGGAGCTGGATAGATTTTGTGGAACGTTTGTTCATTATTTTTGGCATGTGTGGGATGACTGAGAGTCATCTTTCTCCATGCTGAGATGTACCATCCTCTCCAGGTGGTCTCTTTGATTGAAGCTGTGCTCAGCTACTGCTCTGTGGGACAGATCCCAAGCCCACACCACATGAGTTCATAGCTTGGCACATCATCTTGCTGGCTGTAATAGGAGCACGCACTTGTGTGTAGCTTGTGGATAAATAAATCTGATCCTGCTGTTTGAATGTTTGTGTGCCTTCAGAGTTTCTGGCTCAGAACTGCTGTCTTGCTGCTTGGATGTCAGGGTACGAAATTCTCTGATGTTCTTCAGGTGTAGGTTCCTCTGGGGTTATGTGCTGATGTGAAGGCAAGCCTTGTTTGATTGACACAGTCTTCTAGAGTATTCGATCTGATGTTAAGGGCTGAATTTCTTTCTGATGTTCTGAGCTCAGGCGTCGGCTGATAATGAGTTCAAAACTAATTTAAGGATTCCACACTTAGTAGCGTGTGCTAAGGGATTCTGAGGAGAGCAGGTTTTGTGTTTTGGAAGGCTAGTGGAATGTGGTTTCCTGTGTTCAATTTTATGTGGAAATCCCAGTAGGTGGTTTGTTGGGTAAAACTCAGCAGACTGAGGTCCAGAGAGAGATTACAGTATAAACAGGTTCCATATTCTTGTTTCCAAGGTTTATGCCTAGATACAGGATTCTGCAGTCTCTTAAGCTCAAAAGCTGCCGGGGGTGTGTGAAGAACCTGGCAGCCATGAGGTCTCAGAACACTGCTGTGTTGATGCCAGGACACAGACCTTTAGTTTCACAATCTTGTACTGAGAGACAAGCACGCATGTAACTAGAGCTTACCCTCTTCTGAATGAATATCTGGGCTTCCCTAAAGGCTCTACATGTATTTTGAGTAGATGAATTATTTTGAATGACTGGCCTTCTTGAGGGTGAAGACCCTGGCCTTTTAACTGACTGTTGTGATGTCAGAGTACTGGAATTTTGGATCTACTTTGCATATGTATACTTGAAAAGCCAGGCTTCTGTTACACTTGGTCCATGGCTGATAGGGTTTAAACTCACCACACGTACAAGAAGAAACAAAAGCAAATCATTTGTGAGTCTGTTGCTGGTTTGTCACATCTCTACCCAAGGATTAGCATTTCAGATACAGATGTAGTCTTGTTTATTCTGTTTTTATGGTGTAGTAACTACAGATTGCTTTATCGTCTGTTACTGACATAGTCCCTCAGACATATTGGGTTTATGGACAAGGCTGTGGCATGCTCTGAGATTTATGGTTTGGCTCCTTCACACTTCTCATGTGATGTCAGGGTATAAGCAGGGTGTGTTTTGGCTCTTATGGTTGCCATTCTTGCTACTGTTAATAGTTCATCACTCTCTTGTAAGTCAGGACAGTGCTTGTGCTCAATTAGTGTTTCAGCAGACCATTTCGAGACAGGCTTCATTAAACTGAGATTCATTCATTTCCTAATTTATTAGCTCCTCGAATCTTAAATATTTGTTTCTTGTCCTGAAATTCTGTGTAGTATTACCTGCAGTATAGCACCTGTTAAATATGATCTGAGTTTTCCTGCTCTGGTTGCAAAGTATTCTCTTTTCTCCACTTGATCTTGGATTTATTCCTGGAAATACTAGTATTCCTGGAAATACTACTATTCTACTTGCATTGCACAGAGCACACAGAGCTAGCAGAAAAATTGCAAGATCATCCTGCCCTGTCATCTGAGTTCTGGCCTGCTGGACCAAGAACAGGGTTGAAATATTTGAATAATACTTAGAATGAATGAGTCTTTGATTCATAGGGACCCTACAGTTCTGAATCCCAGCTAAAGAAAAACAAAAGGTGAAACACAGATCATATCAGTGCAGTCCTAGACAAGAGAGAATAATCTCTTTTCTAGGAAGCAGAAAATTACTGTAGACAACTACAGATTCCACAAAACATTATTAAGGATTTTAAATTATTACATATAATGACCCATGCTGGATATAACAAATTGGTCAAGGTAAATGTAGCAGTCACACGCATAGCTTGAATTTAAAACATATCTTGCCTTTCATGAAGCTTTATTATTTAAAAAATCAATTCAGACTGAGCTGTAAAAACATGCTAGAAAATACACAGGGCATTAATACTCATTTAATGTAGGTTTAAAATTTTTGAGATTTCAGAGTGCTGATTCTGCTTGATTTTTTTTTAATCATTAGCCCTATTTCTAAATGCTTAGTTGCCATGATTTGTTACGGCTGAAGTTGGTAATAATCTTACATTTAGGCAGACTGAGTCTCGGGAGCATTTTATGCCTTTGCCACTGGGAGTCAGGATTTCCTAACATATGCAGCTTCCCATTACACAATGCTGGGAGCCAGTGCTTATTCTTTACTGTGAATGGAAACACCATTCAAAGCCTTTTTATATTAGGATTTTTTTTTTTTTTTTTTTGTGCTAAAGACATCAACACTAAAAGTTACCATCATTTGAATTAATAGGCCAGATTTAACTTTTCCTGCAGGTGGCCAGGGAATTCTAAGCACAATTCTTTTTGTTTGTTTTGAGGGTCTGTTTGTATCTCATGGTAATTACAATGTCCTACAAAACTATTTCTGGAAAGGATGCACATTTTCTTGTGGGTGAGGAAGCAAAAGATGTTAGTCAGGTGTATGGCCTCCTTTGACTTGAGAAATGCCTTATCCTTCTGGTTAGCCTGGTGCACAGCAGCAAGAGAGGTTCCTCTCACCTGATAGGTAACACTTTTATAAGATTGCCCTAAACATGTGCTTTCAGGTGAAATACAATGCAACCTTAGCAGTTAGAATCCTTTTATAATCCTTTTATAATTAGAGCTTTTTAAAATTTTGTGTATTTCATGGCTGGTAATTGGTTTTGGGTCCGAAGATGCAAAAACTTTAAACAATCCCTATCCAAACACTCCCAAATGACAGAAAGAAGCAAGTTATCCTGGAAACAGAGACCATATCTCTGATTGAAAATGCCTTCCGTCACACTCCTTACAGACAAAGGAAAATTACCAATATGTAAGCAATTACAGTTCTCTACGTGAGCACTTCAAGTAAAGTACTTAAAACAGACTTTTGACACTCCAAAGCACCCAAGTTTGTGCAGGTGTCTTTGGATCCCTGATCAATTATGTTAGAGGATCTCCAAGAAACAGAATTGTGAGAAAGGCTGAAAATGCAAATGTTTGTAGCTGATGCAGGGCATCATCCCCTTGTACTCTTGATGCAGAAAGTTTTTGAACAAAGGTTATTTCTTAACATTCTCTGCATTGTTTCCTGAGAACCCAACAGGACAAACTGTTTCCTCAAATAGTTTTAAGAAGAAAGTATTGCAGGGAGTCTGCTCTAGAAATGAATGGATCTTCAGTGGGTAACTGCCTTTGGCAGTTATTTCTTCTTCTAAGCAAATCTGAAGGTTTTTTCAGATGACATTAGCTTTATGTTTTGTGATAGCTAATTTAGCTCTCTTTCTCCTTTTTCTCATGGCATTTTTCTAGTTTTAGTTTTATCTTTATTATACAGTCAGTTCAGCTGACACTTGTTAATACCTTCATTTCAAAAACTGGGGCCATGATCCTTTCCCAGACTTTGCCTAAAAATTTGATGGGAATGGGAAGCCTCAGGAAAACAGGAGAAAACCATTCTCTATTTGTTCTGCACTTGTTCTGTACATGGGGATGCCGAACTGACCGTAAATGGATCTTTATGTTAAATAGTGTTTGCAGCTATAGAATCCCAGCTATTGCCAGCATCTTTGTGGATGTACATTTTTGTGATTCTATTTTGAGTATTTGTGTATATAATTCACCTTTTTTTTTTATTTATTTATATTTTTTCTTTTAAATTTGCAACTAATTAAAAAATTAGGAAAAAGCAGTTAAAATTTATCCATCTAACCAGCACCAGATTTAATTTATTCTAAATAAAAATTGATAAAGTCCAAATATTTTCTAGGTGTCAGGCCTTCAATTCAATAGGCTTAATGTACTTCCTCAAGAAAAAAAATTATGATTGAAGGTAATGCTGTAAAATTACTAGAAAGACAGCAACAGGACCAGGCTCCCAAACCCAAATAAAAATAAAAATGTGTTTCTAAGAATTTCATGTGTTTTTTCAGTCCCCGAAGACTTTAATTAATTTGAAGTTGGCTCAAATTATTTTTTTTTAAATATTATTAGGATTTGATTGTTGTCCAGTATATTTTTCTTATAAAACTCCAAGATTATACAGTGAAGGAAATATTTTGGAAGTCTCTAGAAGACTCACAATTTTTGGCCTGGTTTTAACATCTCTTATTTATCCATTAGGCAACTGACAGGTGAATGAAAACCATTTTAAAAATTCATTATTGCTGGTTTTGCAAAACTGTAAAAATTGGAAAGATTCTTGTCACCTTACTGTTTCCTAACAACTTTATATTCCTCTCTTGTACCTGGCAAGAGATAGATTAACTTTAGTGATGATAGGGAGAACTTTTGAAAAACTGAATTTGGCAAGTGTTTGTCTCAATCTCATCCTCCCAGGCTGGCTTTGCAGGGATCTGCAAGTCTTTTCCCTTGGTATCCAGCACAGCAGGCTCTGGATATTGCTACAGCTATACCTCAAAGTATTGCTCCAATGCTAAAAACTTTTTTATATTACTGTGTCTCTTGAGCCCTTCTAGACATGGATCACTCTAAAAATATATGCTTTGTTTCAAAGAGTGTAATGGGCTAAAAAAAAGAATGTGTGCTCTTTGCTGTCTTTATCTGCCCTTAAAAATCTGTCAATACAGATAAATAAGTTACCTTTAAAGTAGTTCTTAGAATTGAGCAGAGGAGGACTAAAAACAAAATCAAAGTACCAGGTTTGTTTTGGGTTGATTGGTTGGTTGGTTTTTTAAGACTTTCAAATTACATTTGGCTCTTGATGAAACAGTTAAATAGAGTGCCTTTAGAATTAATGTTCCCTTTCTTTTCTTCAAAGGAAATTAGCCATTAATCCTGGTGAATGTCTTGTATAAATACTTTAAGACTGACAGTTAGAATTTATTTAGGAGTCAAATGAGTTTTTTATCCTCCATTAACTTTACAGATTGCTATAATGAAAATCATTCTTTCCACCATCTCTTTTTCTATACATGGCTTATATCCAGCAGATTCCTTGATTTACATATTTTAAAGTATGTGTCACCCCAAGACTATATCTGTACAAGTTGGAAAGACTTTTCTTTAAGAAGACTTAGCAGCTGAGTCCAACAGATGTCAGGTCCCAGATACTTACCTAAGAGAGCAGTATGTGTATTAGGGATGTGGCAGACTTGGGTGAAAATATCAGCAAATTTTCAACCTGCAGCTGTCAAAATCATGGAATGGACCCAGAAACTTTCTATCCAGTATGTTCTATTCTATTATCTTTTTTTTTTGGTTTTTTTTTTTTGGTTTTTTTTGTTTTGTTTGTTTTTTTTTTTGTTTTGTTTTGTTTTGTTTTGTTTTGTTTTGTTGGGCTGGATAGACTTGTTTTCTCTTGGAAAAAGGGGTATCTGATGAGGAAAGCTGTAAATTCCTCCACACTCCACACTGATTACAAGGTCACCCATTGGACTCCTTCCTAACTGAGACCACACTGCACTGCACCGTGTAGCAGCATTTAATGAAGGCCTTGCCTGTCCTGCAAACACTCCTACACTTTCTGCACACACCCGCAGCTTTTCACTTCTTCACTGGCAGCTTCAAGCCTCACTGAGGAGCAGCAGTGTTATCCATGTAATCCAAGGTGTGGGGAGGTGTGTGGTGTGACCCCAGGAGCCAGGCTACACTGATGATGTTTAGACACTCTTCCACCTGGCTGTGGGCATAGCCTTTCCCACAGCTTGCTCAAATTGCTGGCAAATCCCAGTGAGGTCTTTCAAATGTTTTCAGCACATTTTGGATGAGGTCCAGAGTCATCTGTTATTTACTGTCTCAGATCGGAAATTAGTATCTTAAAAACAAGTAGATGGCACAAACAAAAGGAAAAGAGAGAAAAATACAGCAATGAAAAGCATAGAGTATCTGATGTGGAGGAACTAAAATCAGCAGGGAGCTCTGGACAAATTACTCGTTTCCTTTTTTGTCTTTCAATATCTATGCCATACTTTCTTTGCAGTCCATTGGACAGTATGTTGAAAAGACTTGCTCCATTTTCAAAATGATTGTATTATTTGCTTAATTATACTGCCACATCTGTTTGGATACTGAGTGCTATAAATTAAAAGAGTCTAAACTGTGAATAATTACAGACATCTCAATGTTTGGCTTTCCATGTTCTGTGGGCCACAGGTGTGCCTGACAACAGCACTGAGAACTGGAGCTGGCTTAAATCCACAGTAAGAAAAACATTTCTCTAAAGACACGCTGGAATTGAAAACCAGATTTCCATTCATTCAGACTAGAAAGCTCTTTTAAAATGAGATAGAAAAATACCAGAGTAGGTGTTACAGAGGGCAGACAGAATCACTACCGCAGGTATACTGCTCATTTAACACATTTAGTACTATGGTTATGAAACATTGATCAAACCACTATACCAGAGGATTAGAATTCTTTTTTTAATGGAAAATAAGGTGTGTGATCCTCAGATACAATAAAAATACAGCTTTAGCACTTTAGATTAGCAGAGCACACAGTTAATGAATTTGGATTTGGTGATGCAGGAAGCTATACAGAAATTATGCCTGCTAATATAAAATAAAGTCGTGAAGTAAAAAAGGAACCCACACAGCCCAGGACAAAATATACCTTGCTCCCTCAAAGACCTGTGAAGATGCGAATTCATTCAGCTGTCCTCCCTGCTATAGGCTCAGTTTCCATTCTGCTCTGCTGTGTCCTCTGCTTCTCATCCTGCCTGCTCCAAGAAATAACCAGGTAACACAGTGAATTTGCTGACTAGCATAAATCAATTCATTTTGCACATCCTTTCTGCATTCTAGAAGACTGTTAATAATGTCTGTTGTGTCTGTCTTGCTTATACCTAAAGGTAAACTCCTCAATTTGCTCTCCTACCTTCAAATTTCCACTGAATATGAACACCATCTTAGACTTAGTGCTTCTCTCTTTATATTCAAATGTTGCTGCAGTACTTCAAGAAGGTTTTTCTTCAAAGATCAGTTCTTGTGCCACTTGGGCATTCATTTTGCTACCATGATTTTCAGAACATCTTCATAACTCTCTGAACTATCTGAATAGGAGGGGAGCGATTCTGGAATGCTGTATATCATAAACAACTTCATGCTTCATTCTGATTTATTATCTTTTTGGTAAATTTCGAAAAGCAGCACATTATCCTATCTGACAAGTAGATTCCCAAGTGGTCTGAGGTCAGAATGACTTAGATGTGAGAGTCTTAGTGATACATCTTACAAGACATTGAATTCACCTACTTGGTTCCAGTTTTAATTTTCCTTAAATTATTTTTTACTTCATTATTTAAAAAAAAAAACAAACCAACAAAACAAAACAAATCCGAAAAAAAAAGGACAATAACCTGTCCTGGTGTTTGAAAAGCTAGGTTTTTTGCTTCCAGGGCACTTTGGACTTTTAAAAAGAAAGGTTATGGCATGTATCTTCAAAGACTGTCATAAATCCTTGTCACAGAGAGGGAGAGACGGAAGAAATGTTGGAAACTGGTTTTTGGCTCTGTCTTTTGCAGAATTGTTATAATTTTCTGAAGAGCTATCCCTGGATAATTCATCTGTCAGTGTGAGAGTTGTATTGTTTTTCAATATATTGGTTTATTCTCAAAAGAGACAGAGGAAAGCCATCTGGAGTACTTGTTTGTTGGCTGGCAGTGATGTTTGCAGCCGTACAGTTCTGTACAGACAAGGAGTTGCAGAGAAAGTCCAAATGGCTTGTTTGATCCCCATTTTTATGTTGCTCTAGTTTTGGCTGCCCTTCTCGTTGCCCACGAGAAAGATGGCCACAACGTCACTACACTTTTTAAGACCATCTCATTTTGTTTATAGAGCTCTTCAATCAGAAGGTCACTGTAGGTGTCTGCTCCAGCTGTTGCTCTGTTCTTTCCCACTCACTGCATTTACACTCACAATGTCCTTTTATTTATAGTTTCACCATTCGCCCAGCCTGGGACCATGACGGGGTCATTTGCCACTAGAGTTGCTTTTATAGGTTGAAGGTTCAAAGGATGTTTTGTCCCTTTCATACACAGAACTGCAGCTTAGAAAGAGGGCAAGAAAAAGGGCACTCCTTCCTCCTTTCTTCTGTCATGGAGACAGATGTCCTCTAAAACTGCAGGCAAGATGCAACCCACATTTCAGATCTGCAGTCAGTGTGCCTGCTGTTTCCTCAAACTGCATTACTTGAGTAGTGTAAGGTGGTCAAGATTTGCAGTTTGCAAAGAGCTTAGAGGGGCAAAGAGGAACAACTGGAAGGGAGAATCCTCTGGCAGAAGTTCTGATTTGTTGCAAATTGGCCTGCTGGACTCAAAGCCAGCTTTCTGCATCCTTGCTCTCCTGCAGGAGCTGGCACAAGGCCCCTTCTTAGCAAAGGAGCACCGATGGATAAGACAAAATTTCTGAGTAATAATTCAGTAAGTCTGATTCCTATTCAAGGCACTGCTTTCTGTCTTCTGTATGATAAAATCAGAATATAAACCAACAAGAGACATTTTCCCGAAAGTTGTATGCACTTTTTGCCATGTGTATGCACCTGAATTCCTGCCACTTGCAGAGAGCCTGCAATCTGATATTCTATTGACATTTCCAGGCTTTGCCTGTCACTTTTTCAGCAAACTTCATCTGGATTTCAGGTTACTCATAAAACTTGAAAGCAGGTTTAGTAGCAAAAATTTACAATGTGAACATCTAGTTAGAGGGCCTCTTTAAAGGAGACCCTTGCCTTTAAAAATGAGTAAATAGGACTTTCTACTTCTTTTCCTCATGAAATTACATTGAAAATATGAACAGCAATAAATCAACTGCTGAGAAAAATGGCAATGTACAGCTGGGCTCCCCTCCCACATAGAAATGACATTGGAAAAATCGCACACATTTCCCTTTCCCTTCTAATTGACCTTGTAAAATTTAAGCTATAGCCTCCTTAAAATGCCTTTTAGTGCAGCAAAATGCCAAGAAAGGTTCAGATTATGAGAGTGCAAATGTCAAAACAGGCAAGGAATTTTTAAAAAATAATGTAGAAAATGCTGTGTCCCATACATGCTTGTTTACCCCTCCTCTTGTATAAAAAGATAAGTTCCACTTGTTAACTTGCTTAACTTATCCATCAAAGTTCTTTTAAACTGTTCTGCAAAGCTGTGCTTGTGTAGGGGATCTGGCATTCACATTCATTTGTCTAACATATACTGTCAGTGTCATCTATAAATATTATGATAGCAAAGGGAAGAAGTCCTGTGTGGCTTATTTCTGTATTTGTGTTGTTTTACCTTACTGAAGGACTAAACGTTGCTTAGCTCTTGTAAGAAAATTTCTATTGATTTCAGAGCGTAAATTCATCCTATATTTGCCAGGCCATTTGCCTGAAAACAACAGGGTAGAGTGAGAGTGTTAAGCTTGTGCTGTATTATTTCTTAGAGCAAGAAGGCTGAAATAATTGCTTGCTATATGATGGATGTTACTTAGCAAGATATCTGGTTGTTTCTCTCATTGTTTATTACAAAGAGAGTAGTAGTAGTAGTAGTTTTTCAGTAGATGCAAACAGGTTTTCTTGGCTGGTTGGTCTTTGGTTTTGGGTTTGGTTGGTCTTTGGTTTTGGGTTTTTCTTTAGTTACAGAGCAGGCCACAGATCAAAACGTGAAGGTTATACAAGCTAATTTCCCTAAAAGTTCAGTGTAGGAGAACATTGAAAAAGATATGAAAGACTTGGATACTGGTGTTCTGGGTCAGTCATTAAAGTCTATTAATTGACAAGTGTTTTATGGCTGTAGTGTATTAAACAGACCATTGTATAAATGATGTGTTGTAACAGCTTGTTAACCAATGCTTAAAGCCAAGTATATATATTGAGTCTGTGGCTCATTATCTGGTGTGACTCACGAAGCAACAGTGAAAAGATGCGGTTTTGGAAGGGTTTTTTTATTTTTGCAGAAAGTAATCTTTTTAAAAGTGAAAGAAATGAAACAACAGCAACAATACTCAAACAACTTTAACAACAATCTGTTTTTCTGTTCCCCAGAGTCAGCACCCATCAGTATCAGTGACTTCAGTGAGAACAAGAGTTGATGATAAATAGTGATTCTCTTCACATGCAGCTCACAACCTCCTGGGGCTTCAGGAGATGCAACTTGTTTAACTAGATGAACTATGCACTTTGTCTAGATTTGATTCTTAACATTGCATTTTCCCTGACTAGTTAACAATGTTGGAATGCTTCACAATCCTCTTCCATGCTGTTTCCTTAATAGGTAAACCATAGTGGAGGTAGAATTATTCTGTGAATTTCACCTTCTAATATAACAATGAGGGAATGTAATTCATTGAACAAGGCATAGATTTTGCCCCTGCTACAATCAAGTATTGACTGTTCAGTTGGGTTGGAAAGAAACTGGGCCAGAAGAAGCATATTTTGATTTGGTTTCAATGCTTGGAAGAGCTTGAAAGAGAAAAAGAATGGTAGATTTCAGCTAAACTGCAGGAAGCATCCAGCAATAGAGTGGAAAGCTGACCTGGTTGTAGCAGGGATTAGCAGACCCCCTGACTCCCTGCTAGCTTGTAGTGTAATGGGGTCCAGTCCATTCACAGCCACAGCTGAAAATACTGGGTTCTTGTTAGTATTATTAAAACTTACTTCCTTTGGAACACGTTATTTTGTATGTGGAAATAAACGAACAAACAAACTAAATTAAAAACAAAACAAAACAAAATATGAAAAAAACAAAAACCTCATTTAAACACTGTTTACTTTGTGGGGGAATTAATTTACAGAGGTTGAATAGGGTGACAGGATTAAGGATGTGATCAAGTTCTCCATTGCCTCATTGTAATTTACCCCTGTATCACTTGCAATGAAAACCCGGAATTTCTAAGTGTGTATCTTGCTAGGACCTCTCTCAGGATTCTTTCAACTTTTACATCATCATCTCTCCCAAATCAGAGAATCTCAGGCAGGCTGCTTCCCTCAAACTCTGACTTAAGGACGAATTTACTGTTTCCTTGCTTCCTGCAGGACCTTGTCAACTGCAGTATTATTTCTGTTCCAGGTAGGTATGTGAAATATTCCCATCTGTTCTGGGGCTGTAATGTACTTCATTGGAAAAAAAATCAGTCCCACATTACAGTGATCAACTAGATTTGTGTGTATTATCATTTAATTCATCAAGAGACAGTGATTTTCAGCTGGAATGTTGGTGTTAGTTTAAGGAACCCACCTGTTTTTATTGCCTGTGAAATATTTTGATCAGAACTGACTGGAAAATTTTAAACACAATTTCTCAGTTGAAACACGTCCTTGCAGTACAGTTGAAACAGCTAAAAATTTTGCTGATCATTTTTGTTTGGGTGTGCAGGAAGATTTGCTTCAGAATTAGTTTTCAAGACAGGTAAATCTGCAGTTTGAATTTCAGCACTGTACTTTTACTGTACTGTACTGTACTGCAATTTTTGTCACAATTCTCTTTTACCAAAATGTTTTTGTATCAATGCAGGACAGAAACTCCAGGAACTCTCTCCTAATTTTGTATTGTTACCCCTCAGTGCTAATTTTGGTTGGGACACTTCCCTTCAAGAACTTTTAGTATTTCATGCTTTTCAACTCTGATTAAGACCTGTATTGCTCTTCTGTTTGTAAGCAGCATGTTAACATGAACATGAGCAGAAGATTTCCACCTTGGCTTTCATTCTTTTCATGTCTTTCTAAAAGTGACATGAAATTAACAGCAGATGTTTGTTTTTCTCTGGCTTTCAAAATTTACCTATCAAATTTGTACTCATGCTTAATTATTGAAGATGATATATCATGTAATACCAATCAATGGAAGAAAATTCTGTAAGTAGCTTTGTGACATTTCTGCTCCTAGGATTTATTCTATTAATATGTGAAAAGAACAGAAATATCTGCAATATCTGAATCAATCTATCTATCTATCTATCTATCTATCTATCTATCTATCTATCTATCTATATACATATGCCATTTTGTACCCTCTCTGGATACCAATGCTTTTTCTTTTTGTCATTTCCCACTTTACGTATGTCCCAGAATCAACCTCTTTTGATTTTGCAGTGCTTGGGCATTGCTTTCCCCACTGCTGCAACCATATCCTTTTCAGTCTTTCCCAAATATTCACTTTCCTCCAAATTACAGAGAAGGAAGTATTCTCCTAACCAGCATTCCTCATGGTTATGTCCAAATAATCTTCAAATCTTTTTGGATTTTCCTTTCCCCTCCCTCTCTGGATTCCTGCTAAGATCCTGTTCACCATTCCTTGCAGTGTAATGCCTGAGGTCCAGGTATCTTGGCTCCCACAGGTGTCAGTGGGATTTTCAGCTCTGCAAAAGAAGGACCGTTTCCCATGTTTATTTGGAAGTTCCTCTTCACCCAAGCTGATGGGACTGACCCATGTTGTCAGGCTTTGTGAACCCCACACTGGTCCTACTATCCTCTTGAGCATAATGACAAAATTAAAAAAAAAATCAGGAAATAACAAGTATTCAATTAAACTCCACCATTAATCTGCACTACTTTTCACTATTGCCCTCTACAAGTTAGATCATACTGCTGTCCTGACACAATTCATAGTGTAAGTATGACTTCTCCTTGATACTTAGGCTTGCTATCAATAATACCCTTCAAAAGCACAAAGAAAAGCTGATTTCTTACCTGAAAAAATGCATTTAATTTGACTTTAAAAATCAGATGCATGATTAAGTCTATTGCAAAAATAAGAATGAAAAAATAATAAAATAATTGGCACCAAAAATGATCTTAAAGCTCTTTCTAGAAGCAGAAAAAATGACATAATTTTCTGCAATTTCTGATCCAGCTACAGGCAGAAGTGAAAGCAAAAAAAGAACACAGAGTCTACCTTTTCCTTGCAGTTATGATTCTGTGTTGGAGAATGATGAAATTCAGAAACTGTAGAAAAGCTTTGGATAAACATAAGATTCTCACTGCTTAGAAGGCTAACCTGTGATTTCTATTCAGATTATTTTCAGGCCATGAGCACTTCTCAAATATTTTCCAAAGTGTTGAATGTGCCATATTTTAGCTATTTGAGCTGTATATATATGGCTTGATCAAGTGAAAATACTTGTTATTAAAATAAAATCAGTACAAACATGCTATCAGGAAGATGGGGAACAGAAATAATTCTTAAAATACTTGTCTTATAGATGAAAAAAATTTGAAACAGATGCAACTAAGGTATTTTTTCTATAATTTTGAATTGCTTTTAGCTTCTACCTTCAGTGTCTTTAGTGGCAGGCTTTTTCATGATGAACTTCTGGACAGTCTATCAATCAGCAAGGTATCTTCTAGTGCTGTTAGTGCTGTATGATTATATGTATAGGAACTCCCACAAATTGTCAGTAAATTACAGAAGAGAGCAGAAAACAGCACATATATCGGCCCCTGGTTTAAAATGTGTGGCAGAAATAGAATAGGATGTGATGGGCCTAATCAAGGAAGAAACAATGTTTGAATATATTACCTGTTCTTCTAAGAGTGGTAGTTGGGCTTGGAATATTGCTTTTCGAGCTCTGGAAATATCTGTATTACCAATCAGAGATATTAATTCATCTCTGTAATTAAAGATCCCTGTTCTCCTTTTAATACCATGTGTATTTTAGACATGAGGTCCCTAAACTGAAAGTTAGGCTCTTTGGAAGGATTTTCTAGAAAACATTGCTAAATACTGCATTTTAGAGGCCAGAACCTGCTTTTAGTTTGGCTAAAAAAACCCAACCCTCTTACTGTTTAATTTTAATTTCATTTTGTTTTGTTTTTTCCTTGTTGTTACAAAATGCATCGGGTTTTAATGATGTGTACAGGGAGCTGTGAACGGGGAAGCTAAAGCAACAGATTCATTGAGCAGGAAAAAAAATGTGCTGGCTAAAGAGCAAAGGGGATCTGCCAATTACTTAGGAGAATAAAAACTGTCCTCCAGTGACAGACTTTTTTCTCTCTTAGATGTACAATTGCATATACAATGTTCCCATGGTTCTGATTGCAGTTAAATTTCACTTATGACATTACTCCTGGCTGGTTTAGACCAAACTAAACTGTAAAAAGGAAATATTTTGAAAGCATAATAAACAGTATAATAAAAGAGCTGTGCCTTCTGGGAAAAAAATTTTTCTGCTCATGCAGCCTTTTACTATAATCCTGTAAAGTGTAAACAGAATGCAACCGTTTAAAATTAAATTTCAGTCAGAAGGGTCTAATTCTGGATCTGTTATCTGGTTAGAGTACTTTTCCTTGTCCATTATATACAATGTACTCAACTAGTAAGGTAATCTTTCACACTACTTTATTGAGACATCCCCATTAAGTGTTTATCAAAGCATTGTATCAGTATAACAAATGATCAGTATATAAAAAGCATTGCTCCATTGAAATAATGAAGTAATGTAAATTAGCACTAGCTGAGAATTAAGAATCAGCAAAACTGTGTAAATGAAATCCAGCTCAGCATATGTCTGATCCCTGGAATATTTTTGTCTTTGATTAAATGTGTTATACCGGTGTTCATAATCTCTCTTCATTCTGGGAAGTGATGAATTTTACTAGGCTCACTTATCTAGTTTATTTAAAACTTACAAAAATGCTAGGTTTTGCTTATGGAACCAAGAATAAAATTTCTAGTAACTGAGTGGCAAGTTGGCTAACTTCATAGATTTCACCTTAAATTTTTTCTCTGAATTTGAATCCATGAACTTACAAAAGTATGGAATGAATGATTTTCAGTAAAACTCCAAAAGCAACTTGATCAGCTCAGGTTTCTTTCAAATAAAAAATTCTAATGATACCCTCTTGAACATAGTTAAAGTTTAGATTGGTTAAAAAAAACCAAAGAGCTATCCTTGGTACGAAAGTATAGCTTTCATTTTCCTTTTCCTCTTCTTACATAAATCCCTCATTGCTCAGAATTTGAACTTCATTCAAACCAGAGAGTTTTAGATCCTTAAAAATGTTTACTTAACATTATTTCAAAATAATATGGTACATTGGTAGGATTATGTTGTCTTGTTGTCTTTTTTTATTCTCAGATATCTTTTAACTTTGGGGTTTCTTTTGTTTTGGCTTGGTTTTTGTTTTGGTTAGTTTGTTTGTAACTCTTCCTTTTTAATCCCCTGAATGGAAATTATTTTGCTTGTCAGCATTATATCATGCAACATCATGATAGGGTTGGTGTTAGAATTTTAGGACTGTCAAATGATGGGTTTGAAAAACAGTCTTTTTTGTGCTCTAATCCATTGCAAATATCTGTTAAAATATGTCAGATGCTGTGGGATTCTGCAGAGTGCCTTATGGAAGTATTAGATGGAATTACACTGTTGTTTTATTTTAGGTAGTGATTCCTTATGGTGTTTCTGCTCCAATGACAATGTACCAAAACCCTGGTATTACTACAAAGATAACAGAAGAGTTTGTTACTGAATCACTGGAGTGTGTCACCTTTGGAGTTGAGTTTTTTGGATGTTTCACCCATGAGACATCTGATTGAATCTGGTTGTGTGTAAATTACTTCCAAAGTCTTCAGCCAAGGCTGTCTGGGCTCAGCCTGGTTTTTTCACTCCTTTCATAGACCTTGAACATGAAACAAGAAAGAGACAATGGGTTGTTAAAGCTAATATGGCACCAGTAAAATATGAGGATAGGAGTACACAAGTGAAATGTAGTGGTAACAGCATAGTATGGTTTTCTCTCTGCTTATGAGCCTTGAGCTGAGCTCAGTTTGATGTCTGGTTAGTCTTTATCCTCTCTCCAGCTGCCTGTTTTCATGACCTTGCTAAGGAATTTTCCAAGACCTCTACTCCTTCACAAAAATTGGCCAGCAATTTCAAAAGTTATTAGTGGGGGAGAGGAAGGACATAAAACCAGAATATACTATCAGAGACATCATTTCCATGGATACTATGCTAACAAAATAGAGTAAATATTTATACACAGCAGCTGTTAATGATGTCCATTAAATGCAAGTATAAGAAAGGGAACAGATTTGCTGAAAGCAGAGGAATTAACATTTTCCTCTAAGAGAAATGTAATTACTGAAAGTCTGAAGTAAAAGCTTTTGTGGGCCTTATATAGGCTCTAAGAAATTTATATTACCATTTTAACATCATCTTGAAGGTCACAAATAATTATGCTTATTTGATATTTATGAATAAAACAATATGCTTTTATTTCCATATTTTATTTCTTGTTCACATTCTATTTTCATGCTTTCATTGAGTGTTTTGTGTCTTGGGTTTCTTTGGAACAGCCAAGGAAATTTGCAAGAGCGAAAAAGAAATTTGTCAGAATGTAAAGTACACACTGGGCTTTGGGAAGTCTGCAATGATTAAAAAAATTTATTTCTTTCTGGAGCCCATGAATATTGCAGAGCTCTGCAATATCCAATATTAGGATGTAAGAGGCAGCAACATAGGAAAAAGATGCACAGTAATTCTACACAGCTGAATGAATCCAGAAGACAGATGTTTTGACTGGATGCCTGTGAAATCAAATCAGGTGCTATTAAAAGGTATTTCGAGGACAATGCAATCACCAGGCATAGTTGTTGTAGATTGATAAAGGGAAAGTCTTGCCTAATTAATTTGATACCCATCTAGAATAAGGCTATTTTCCTGGTGGATGAAAGGAAGGTGGTGGGTGAGATTGTTCTTGATTTTAGTAATATTTAGTAAGATTTTAGTAAGATTTTTGATGCTGTCCCTCACAGTGTTCTTCTGGGACAAGCTGTTGTGATGATCAGGTTCACAATATGCTGGGTGAAGAACGGGCTGTGTGTCAGAATTTCAGAGGTTTTATTGTATGGGGCTACATCTGCCTGGTGAGCAATCACCTGTGGTGTTCCTCATGAATTCATTGTAGGACCAGTTCTGTCAACAAGTTTATCAATGATCTGGATGCAGGAGTTGAATGCACCATTTGCTGACAGCTCTAAACTAGGAGATGCTATTGATTCTCTTCAGAGACAAGAACTTTGCAGAGGGATCTGAATACATTGGAGCACTGGGTAACGATCAGTGCCATGAAATTTAACAAGAACAAATGCAGATTCTGCCCCTGGGATGCAGCAAAGCTGTGCACAGTATAAGCAGGGAGAGGAGTGTGTGTAGAGCAGCCCTGCCAAAGGGATCTGGGGGTGCTGGTTGGCAGCAGCTCAGGGTGAGTCAGCAGTGTGTGCCCGGGCAGCCAGGAGGGCAAACCCATCCCGGGGTGCATCAGACACAGCATCACCAGCTGTGATTGGGATCATCCTGCTGGATTCAGCCGTGGTGCGGCCTCACCCGGAGTCCTGTGGGCAGTGCTGGGCCCCACAGTCTGACAGGGGTGGGAAGGTCCTTGGATGGTCCAGGGGAGGACAACAGAGCTGGTGGAAGGGCTGGAAGGCACATCCTGTGAGGAGCAGCTGAGGGCTCTGGGTTTGTCTGGTTTGGACAGAAGGAGGCTCAGGGGTGACCTCATTGCTCTTAGAGCTGCCTGAGGAGGGCACCTGGAGAGGGAGTGCTGGTCTCTCCTCTCTGCTCTGGACATTAGGAAGCATCTCCCTACTGAGAGGACAGTGAAACACTGTCACAGGCTTCCTAGAAAGATGGTTGATGCCCCCTGCCTGTCAGTGCATCTGGACAATGCTCTTCACCTTGGGCTTTAACTCCTTAGTCGGCCTCAAAGTGGTCAGGCAGCTAAACTACATGATCTCTTTAGATCCTTCCCAACTGAACTATTCTATCCTGGGCTAGGCTAGTTCATGCTATTTATTCAGATGCATTTTTGTGCATTAAAAATCACTAACTTTCATGTATCTTTTAATTTTGCATGTTTATTTAACTTCTGCATTTTAAGAAGTATTTGTTAAAGAGCATGAAGATAAAAAGGACTCTATTAATAAAAAATTGAGATTTTTTTGCATAATGCAAGGGACAGCCTCTGTAATCTTTGCCACACAGATGGAAGAAAAATCACAAAATGTATCCTGCTGGCTCCAGAAATTCCTGTCAGCTGCACTGAAGTTAATGACATCTATGCACAACACATCATAGACATATATTATAGCACCATTTAGGTCCCAGCTTTCTACACGTCTCCTATACTTGTTGTTATAAATCTCAAAAGAATAACTAAGGATTGAGCTGAGATCTCCGAACTGAAATAATGAAAATTACAACACATAAAAGTATATGTCTCTTTCCTGCAGTATAATCAGATTTGACCCAGATCTATAAACAAGTCTAAAAAATTCACTTTACTCACATGGGCTCCTATGAGTTGGTTCTACCATTGAACTCAGTGAAACTGCTGATACACTTACGTTCTTTCATGTCAGAATTGGAAATAAAACTATTACTTGAATATTATCACCCGATGTAGAAAACATCTGGAAATAAAAATGAGATATCTATGCTGGACATTTCAGCATTGCTGGTTTGAAATGCAAGGAACAGAAACAGTTTGTTCCTCACTCCATAAAGACTATATTTGCAAGCGATTAAACTGTATTCTTCTAAGTGTTATATTTGTGCAGCTGTGCAGCAAATAAATACAGAATACAAGATATGTTACATACTGCATGTACACCAAAAGCTGTTGAAGTTCCTGAGGGAAATGCACATTGAATAGGAGGCCCAAGTGTGGAATGTGGGGTTTGTGTTTGTCATTAGTCGAAGTGCCTATTTCTCCACACACGTATAAGCTCCATGAATACATTCTCAGGTACAGCATGAATGCAGTGCATGTCTCTTTCCCAGCTCATCCACTCCAAACACATTCTGAGGCCTTGTGCCCGGACAGCTCTCTGCATGTTTGATTTGCAAGTGTTAGCAGTCCCTGCAGGGTGACACAACTCCCAGGAAGCAGCCACGGCTCCTGCTCTGCTTGAGTCCGTGGGGGTCACTTAGGGATTCAGTCGCAGCAGCAGCAAACCCGCAGCTTGTCACATTTCCAGCAGTGTAGCTACAAATTCCCTTGTTTTCTCTCTGATTTTCACACGACTTACCTAACTCACGTTAAAGAACATACTTTTGCCCTTCCTACAATGACAATTTTTTGTCACCAGAAGAAATGTTTATCTGACATACAGGGACCCCAGTAACACAGAAGGACCATTGTACCAAGGACCCATAGGCACGGGTTAGTGACTAGAAGACTTGGTTTCCAAGGTTTGCAAGTCCTGTAACCTGTGACAAATGACAGTTCCATATTTCTTGTTTTGAGCTGATTTGTGGTTGTGCCCTCTGCGTGGGTCTTGCAGGCTGTTGAGTAGAGAGCAGAGCAATCAGCGTAGTGTTGATTTGTTTCTCTTGATGAACAGAAGGATACTGTTACTTGCTGCTCTTGCAGGGTCAGTCTGTAAAGCATCCTTATTTGACCTTTCAATTCAGGTAGATGGTGTGATTCGTGAAGTGTCCTGTGCAGGGCCAGGAGCTGAAGCTGATAACTCTCATCAGTCCTGTCCAACTCAGCATATTCTAGGATTCTGTGATTCCATTTGCACAATATTAAGCCAGATCTTGCTGACTTCCAAACTCCTAATAATAAATTAGAAGTGCTCTCTCTAATGTTAACTTAACCTAAGTCTGCAAGAAGATGATTCTCTTCCTTTGACTTCTCAGAGAAGTTAGTGAGTGAATCAGCCACCAGTGTGTAAGGCTGGAGGAGAAGCAATCGTACCTTCCTCTTCATTTTATAGACCATGTGCTCTCTCTAAGTGCTGAACAAACAACTCAAAGGCTGTATCATCTGCTCTTGCTCTGGTTGATGGGGAAATGGAAAGAGAAGGGGAAAATGGCAGTTCTTCCCAGCACTCCCTACCTAGGGAGAAGGTGGCGAAGCAGACTAGCAAGTCAGGCCTTCTGCTTTTCCCACAGAACCCATAGCATGGAATTTCCTCTTTTTGATAAAACATTGCTAATAACCACAAAACCACACACTGGAGCAGTGGCTCTTCATGGAAGGATTCCATATTACCCCTGTTTATGGAATGGGAAGAAGATGTGCAGAAAGGTGAGGCACCTGCCCCAAGCCACCCAGAGGAAGGAGGAACAAACACTGTTCACATCTCCTCAGCCCCATCCTCCAAGGAGACTATGACTTCTAAGGAGACTCATGGCTTTGAAAGTCAAATATCCTCAAATTAAGTAACAAAAATATGGCTACCCACCTAGAGCCAAACTTTGCTGAGCTTTTGTTCTTATATCCTCACTCCACTAAAGCTGGGAGTTTGATGAAAAGCTGCCATCCATGCCTTAATAGAAGGCTATGCCTCCTTTTCCCAGGGTCACTGGATCAGCCAATTACAGAATGGTTTCAACTGGGAAAAAACTTCAAAGGTCATCTATTCCAGCACCTCTGCCATGGGCAGAGGCATCTTCAACCAGAATAGGTTGCTCAGGACCCCATCCAGCCTGGCTGCAAACACTTCCAGGGTTGGGACATCCACCACTTCTCTGGGCAACCTGGTCCAGTGTTTCATCAACCCCAACTATTAAACTATTAAACCCC